ATGTTAGCACATCAAATATCGCCTCAGTTCCGTGTAAGTAGATATACAATGAATAAGGAATATAGTAGCTTACCTACGGCTTAAGGGTTTAATCAATAACGTTTAAAATTTGAGCAAATATCTCATTAACTGTAGGAATTAAAGAGAAAATACCAACATTTTTTTAAAACGTTAACACCCTGTATGTCGCGTTGACGATGGGCCTGAGAAAAAAAATCTCAAATGGAAACTCGACTTGTTTTCAGGTCGTCTACACGCCCTTGCTGTGTGTCTATAAGGTTGTGAATCACCCTGTATATAAATATCCTCTTCGTAGAAAATGGGATTAAAGGTTTTTAGTAAATTACCTCATTTTTTCGTAGGAAACAAGCGAGTTTGTTATCCGTTTACTTTTGTTCGAAAAGTGCCGCTTTACTTTCAATTTTTCGGGAAATTATGTTTTCTGGGACTTCATGCAGGGTAATAGTATATTACATAATAAGAGTTGTAAGTAATTGCGTTACAACTCGAATTATGTACCATACTTTACCTACGATCGTATTAACTTACTAAAACTAAAAGACAAATTTGTATGTTTTATATATTGTATGTTTTATATACTGTATTGTACTTTAATTGAGATTAGGAGTATGTTTATGTTCAATTTGATATATTTGTTACAGGTCTTCCCACTGTTCAAATATATTAAACTGATTATTAAACATCTTTTTTAAGTAATCTCAATTAAAGTAATCGGTCACCAATAATAGTAAGGACACAAACAACCTTTAAAACAAGTAGCAGGGACGCAAACTCGCAAGCAGATTTAAAACGCCTGTGCCTTTGCGTCCATAGATGGCAGAGCAGGTTAGCGCGGGTTTAACAAAGTGCCCGTGAGTGCGCTATCTATACTTGCACAGATTACAGAGAACACAACCTCTGTGATCTGTGCTATACTTGTCTTTATCTATGATAAAGACAAGTCGAAGTCTTTATGATGTTGACACATTTTTTTGTATTATGATTGTACGTTTTTTTTGTTAAAAAAGGCATGTTAGCAAGTGAATAAAATGTGGTACGCGGCTTTGTTTCGATTTTTAAGGCGCCGGATTATCCTGGGGCTTATTTTAACACTCTCATTGTGTTATTGCATTTTCAGCTATATAGGAAAAGTAAGTGCACATTTGCCCTTTATCAGGTGAATGCTTTAATGCGCCCCTTTTTCAGTCAGATTTTTTGGACAACGATGACGAGGTGCCCGTTAGAAGAACCCAACCATTCATTTGGAGAACTTTACAAGAACATAACTCGACTAATGATGTGGCAGCTACTTGCAGGAACTCTGTACAGGGAAGAGTCCTGATGGTGGACGACCGAGGTAGTTTTATATTATATCCTTTGATATTATAAGTATTTTATTGTAAAACGTTTCCATAGGATTTCTATGCACTCGAAGTGAGCTTCTAAGTAGTGGCTGCTGTAACAGTGAACTCCAAACTGTTATACAGTATACTTGTGAAACATGCAACCCAAAGCAATGCTGTGGTATTTACGAGTACTGCGTATCTTGCTGTTTACATCCAGATAAGGTATTTTCGACATTTCTAATATAAACAGGGTGAAGAAACTGGAAGTATAAATGAGGGTAATGTGCAAACTGCAGTTTGAAATGCAAAGTCCAATTTTAAACAGTCGTCTTCACTATAAGACATGTAGCGTAATTGTAAAATGTGTGAAAATATGTAATTTTAAGGGCAGTTTTCGATTTAAAAAAAAAACTACGATTTATATGTTCAAACAGGGCTTATCGTGTAAAGAATGTTTAAAATTGGATTTATCGTTTCAAACGGTAAACTGTTTAATATGGAATACATATGCTATCTCAAATTGAGTTTGCTTGATTTCCATGTCTTTTTTCACAATGTTTCAGTTGAAAAGCACGAATGCGAAGCACAATGTTTCTTTGTGAACGGCCTTTAACATAAAAATGTGTTGAATAAACAAGATATTGTGAGACTTATTTCGATCAATTTTCCAGAAAGAGTTATTAGAGGCTATTCTGAAAAAAGCGACAGAGCAGAACAACATTTTGCTTGCCTCAGCATCAGATCATTTCGAATTGTGCTTAGCTAAGTGCCGAACCAATTCGCAAAGTGTGGTGCATGAGAATTCGTACAGAGATCCCTCAGCGAAGCACTGTTTTGGAGAAACAGTTCCAATTCCAAATTACGTAGAAACGTAGGAGGCCGCTAATCCACAGGTGTGTGCTAATTATCCACTGTTTATTGGACTATTGGTAATATTTGGGTTTTTTTTACTCGTTTTATAATGGGCTTGATCGATAACAATCCAAAGGAATTTAATTCCATTTACTTTAGTTTTTATTTTGTATTCTATATTTACAGTATCTAGGGAATATTGTGGAAAATACCCATGAACAAGTTCATGGTGTTATTTTGTTCGGTTTAGTAGGTATATATTTTGACCTGTAAAAATCAAAATTTACTTTCAATAGTACTCATTTTAGGAAGATACCAAGTTAGTAAAATGATTGTCAATATTTCAAATAGTAACCGAACTTTAGCCACTTTTCTTATAGTAGTAACGAGTTTACGCTTAGTATACAAACTGCGTTTAGGAACAACCTACTTTCTGCGTACCTTTTCATTGGGACTTCCCATACCTTGATGTATCTCAGGAATATGTATAGTAATTATCTTTATAAAATGTGCTTTACTTGAACAAGTAGTTTTCGGGTGCTGTTTTTACTCTTCATCGTGAGGAATGTTTCAACTATTACAGCCGTTGAGTTACCTGTACAATGTTTTGCTTGAAATGACAATTCGGAGTTTTTGTGTGTATGTCGTCGATGTTATTTAGTAATAATTAATTAAAATGCCCGTTGATTAAATGCGAGTTTTCAAGCATTCCATATAACTGTGCGCCAAACTTATATTTCACTTAAAAGATAAATTTCCCACTCATGGAAGTTTGAATAAACCAAATGATTCTGCCCAGAGTGAATGTCACATTTATGGTGGATATAGTTTTAATAATTTTTATATTTTTTTGATACATAATTTGTCTGCTATTTAATCGCATTTTACTATTTTTGCGCCTTAGAATGGAAACACCCTCAGACATATATTTACCCTACTGACTTAAGTTGTGGGCTCAAATCAAATGTGCCATATTGGCGTTGGATTGTTATGTAAATCAGTTTATATTCCACATATGTTTTAGACAATACATTTTTATTAGTTGTGATTCTACCTACTAATGAAATTATCATGAATAATAAACATGGAATATAATATTGAGGAAAAATGTGTTTATTTATGTTGGTTTCCCTCTCATAATGTTTTTTTTTGGATGATTTGAAAATTTTTCTTTATTAGTTGCTGTCTCACACTAGTTTAATATTTCAGAATTCAAATATTGTGAAAGACATTCAACGCATAGTTATAAGAATGTATGCCGTTTTATTTACAATTGGAATTATCGTTGTTTCCAAAATTTATATGTCGGCGGGTATAACTAACTGAGCCTATGATTGAGTTTAAACATTTGCTTCAAGAACTAATTGATGACAAGAAAACAACTGGTTTTTGTGTCACTATTTGCATATTTCGTTTAATTTGACATCGTTTGATCGTTGATGTTTAATCATAACGATTTATTACGCGCGTTTATAAAATTTGTATGATAAAAAAATTGATTAGCAATAAGCAGTTTGTAATATTAATCATAAAAAAGTCTTATTCCTGAGTTTCAAAGCGGTTAAAAAATTTAATATTTGCTATATATCGGAAACTGTCGAGAATATCTTTGTGTTATACGAATCTTGCATTGAAATTTACAGCGTGCAAAGAGAGTAAACAATTAATCGATTCTGGATCATTTTCCTTTATAACTGACAAAAATAGCTGAATAGTCATTAAGACCTTTTTGACACAGCGCCTTCAGAACTTATTTGTCTCAAAATAATTTGTCATAAATTGTTAACCTCTAAAATGCTATGCTATAAGCAAAAATGTTTAAATTGCCCATAATTTTTTGAAACTATCGCAATGATCACTATTACATTTACTAAATTTGGCCCTAGTTTCAAAATACACAACTTTTTATTATTATTTACAATTAACTTGTTAATATATTTTTTTAAATTAAATTCTTGGCAACGTTGTTCTGGTAGACGTCAGGTTTGACAATCCACATTTAATAAATAGGAAAACATTGGCTTGAATGAGTGACGAAATTGTTGTTAACCTTTTTAATTAAAGAAAAGTGCATATTTTTTGTTACGCGTTTTGGTTTCTGTGTTCTTCTGCTCTCTGTGGCTTTTTGTGTTTGTTTGTTCTCCTTCATATGTCTGTAGCGGGTTAACTATGCGAGTGTACGTAAATAGCTGCATGTTTATTTAGCAGGACTACAGCCAGCTTTAAGGTATAATTACTAACTAAATAGTGTTTATATCATGTTTTCAATTGCGCACCCGTAATATATGGCATGTAAGATACCGTAATTAACCACCAGTCTCAAAATCAAATTTATAATTGATTTCCGTTTTTTTTTATTTTCCTACAGTCGTGTTTTTATAATTTCCTTTATATTATTTGTTAAGTCGTTTATAATCCGTTTAAAATTGTTCTCCACTTTGGGTGCTTAATGACAAGGCCAGGCCATGTTAGTTGTGAGCCAAAACTAGCACACACTATAAATTTTCCAGCAGAACCAGTTATTTAAATTATAATGTGTCGAGAACATATTCGATATGGGACATTATACATACTTAATTCAGCGGCTCGATATCGAATTTCCTCAAAATAAACGGCTTGATAGTTTTGTGGCTATTATGAAATTCCACGGCTAGTCCCATGTAACTTCGTAAGGATATTCCAAAGGTGGCAATCAAACAATTCATTACCATTTTAGTAAGTATCGGGTTCTCGTTCTACAATGACGCCTTTTTCTAGTTAGATCCTTTTTGCTTGAAATTGCAATAAATTTTTTAAATTGCCCGAGTTCTCCAACGTAAACAGCACTCTATTCAATAAAGTTATTTTATAAAAATGGTGAAGTTTACCGAATTGTTGACGGAGGTGTGTATGAATTATTAACTCGTCCACCTTATTAAGATTAAGATGCAATCACACTAACAGAATTGGCAAACAATTTCAAAATGTGCAATATGTGCTCAGTAGTAGCCAATAACATGTAAAATTCCAGCATTTCAGTATAATGGAAGTGGTGGCCAATGAGAAAAACAACGCCGCAAACAGTGAGAAAATAGCGAAAGTTTTACAGAAGTTCCTAGAGCCCAACTTTAAACTCAAAAATGATGTTTACTTAAATCTGTTCCTAACTCATTTGGTTGGAAAGAACTCTGGTAAGTGGATTAATTTATTCATATTTGCGACGTCCAACTCACCAAAACGCCCATTCCAGATCTACAGAACCCACTAACAAAAGAACACAAACAAGAGTTTTTTAAATGGTTAGTAAACGCGTGCAATCTTTGGGACCAGACGCAAGTAACACCCCCCAGTGTCATCGTGTCGTTTGCCTTACACTTAGCCAGTCACTTATGTTTAGAAGAACAGATGTTTGTCGGCTTAAATAGCCGAAACGTTTTTGAATCTCTAGTGGGTAAGTTGCTCTAACACTAAAACAAGGTCTTGGAGGCTTTAAGTCGCGTCAAATTCCACTATTAAGGGCAACAAACCACAATTCAGGCATCTCTTTGGTTGCTTGTAGTGCTTGATTAAATAATAAGAATGCTTCTAGGTATAGCTCAGACAAATTTCAATAAGGATGCGAGCGTCACTTTGGGCTATGTGACGATGTTATGTGCCTTTTTGGAGCACAAAAGTGGGTTGCAGTGGGTGCTGGCCACAACCCATTGGAGCGAAGTCGTTAGTTTGGGCAGGAATGCGCACACCATGTACATAAGGAAAAAATCGTCAGTAGAAAGTGATTGATTAGTTTGTGGACCGCAATTTAATAAACCTATTTTAGATATCAATTTGTTGAAAAGTTGTTGGAAAAAACGATCTGTTTCAATCTGCAGTTTTGCGGGAATTTAGCGGCAATGCTCATTAGGCCTCTGAGCGATGCTCTGAAGACTTTGCCAATTTCAAAGTCCGGTCAACATGCGGCGATTGAAAGCAGCACACTTTACGAATCTTTAAAACCCAGTTTGGTGTTTATTTCCGAGGTAATTCATCAAATTGCGGTCACTCTCAAAGCTAACGGTGTCATGCTTTCAGGTGATGGAAGCTCTAGTACGGGGTATGCAGGGTGCAGTATTAAATCTGTTTATAGCACTTAAATTGGGCGAATTAACCGCCAAATTGCATCTGCTGAGTCAAATCGAGGACTTCTCGTTTGAGCTGATCAAAATCCGCTGCATTTTGTTGTTTGCCAAAATTTCCAAAGAAGCAAATCCCATGAAACGAGCGGGCGCCACTCAAATAGCCCACGATTCCATCACGCTCTTTGACATGAAGACAATGTTTGATATCATACAGAGTGAAATGGATAAAGGTGGCGCGTTTTGCTTCGATTTTTCAAATAAATATCAAAAACTATTATTTTGCAGATCACGTTAAATGCGTAATAAGAATATGCCATTACGCACACACTTTGCATTATAGTTTGGCCGAAAAGATGCCGCTTTGCATCAGAAAAGGTGAACCTATCGAGTTCCAGAACCAAATGGTGCTGTTCCAAATCATGCCCATAATGGTGAGTTTTTACTTAAGGCAAGGTTTTACTTTTGCAATTTGGATGGTTTTTAGGTGTTTTTCAGTCGCGGAGGTATAACCAAAGAGGTGATACTCTGCGACGTGTTTCGACGGGAATTTATTCAAAAACTGGTCAAATTGAGCGCTATCAGGACAGTTGAGATATGTGAGTTTACAATGTAACCAAAAGGGTATCTTTAAAGCACTAAAAATACATCCACACTACTGCAAGGAAATAATAAACTATGATACAGGTTTTAGGTGGAAACAACGCCTTTTGGAAAAGCAAGATCTGATCGAAGACATGATTTTCGGCCTACAGTACATGGTGAAGACGAAAAAGCTACTCAATAAAGAGCGGGCCACCATATTTTTTCAGCCGTTGGTGTACGCCTTTAAGGACACTTTGAGCTTCTTGGAATCGTATAGTGCATACATTCGAGTAGATGGGCGTATGAAGCCCAGGTAAGTTTTGTCCGCTAGAGTGATGTACCGCTCGATGTTTTTTGTTGTCCTCAACCGAATATGTTTTTTCCATTATTAATAAATTCTCATTTTTTTAGTTTTGTCAATTTTGTAAAAACCCTAATCGAAACCATCATCGATCTGGTACAGAGTTTCGACCTAACGTGGAAGGACAGCATCGAAACCATATCAGTACTGAGTCTTGCCTGTGAATTTTTAGGATTCCCCCATTTGGAGAAAAAGGTCTTTCCTCGAAGAAAGCTATTGATTTACGCTTACGCTATTGTTTTTCAGCTTGTGGTGTCCGGGTTGAGACTTTTGAACTTGGCCGTGTCGAAATACATGGCGCCTGATTTGGTGCTACTCTTGGACAGTACTAAAGACTCTTTGATCTCGAACACCGGAACCCTTTTGTACGCCAAATGTCTGGAGACTGACTGGGAGATTCGGGATACCGCCTTGGAAAATATCTACACTTTGTCGTTGAACGCCAATACGAGTGAGGAGTTTAATTGGCTTCTTGAACCACGCTCAACCTTGAACGTTTCTTTCAGAGTTTCCTTCATATGCCAACATTATAGTCGATGCTGGTCTTCCGGAGTTTGTCTTCCAAATGGCACTAAACGACCGGGAATATTACGTGCGAGGAACGGCCTTCCGATGTCTTCATCAACTGATTCAAATCCAGGCTGCGTGGGATGTTTTCATGGCTGCTGATCGGTTTCTGGTAAGGATCAGAAACTACCGACTGCAATAATTGTTGGGAATCTTTCAGGAGAAAATTCTCAACGTGTTTGACCATGAAACTGAGGGCGTTGTGCGCAAGGAAGCTGTGCTGCTGATTTCGAAGATCTACAAGTTTCAACATTTTCCCGAGGAACTCCTACCAAGGTAAACAAACATCTGAGCGACATAGATCAAGGCTAAAACGTACGATTAAAAACAATTAATGCGCAATTAGACCATGAAAAGTTTCCGATCAATTGACCAGTAATTAAGGGAAAAAGCTGGTAGTTTTATATTATTTATACGAATTAACTTGAAAAATGTGTGGAAATCATTTCTTTTCTTAGGGTTTACGACGTAATGACTCACGCAGTTACAGGAGATTTACATTGGGAAGTCAAATATAACGCTTTAGACTTCTGGTTTGATGTCTTCGAAGTACACTTAAATAATCAGGGTAAGTTTATAAGTTTTAAAAGTGAACAACAGCTTTAAATGAACATTTTGCTCAGATAGTATAATTGATTTTTTCCTTCAGGTATGATTGATCGCGTTTTTCCCGCAGTGACATTTTCAAAAGAACAACGCAAAATTGTTACTCTGAATGAAACGGAAATTCGGCGGCGTCTGATCAAAGCCCTAAACCAGCTGAGTCACACCGGTTGCTTGTATGTGCTAAAAACCGCATTTCTGGACGATTGCGACGTTCAAGTGTCGAAAAAAGCGGCAAATGCTGTGTCGAAGATGATGAAGCTGCTGAAAATGTATCATGTAAGCAAACCCATGTTATTCTGATGCTTTTGTTCTTATAAGTACTTGTCGCAGGTGCCTTGTGATCACATAGACATGAGCGAACCTCCTAGTCCGTGTGTTCAGACCAATAACATCACTGCTGCTAGTCCAAGTTCCACTAGTTCAATCCCCAGTCCGGAAATAAATGCGGTCAGTCCGGAGTCTACAAGCGCGTTTAGTCCACAGGTGTGATTTGTAGTAGTCACTGAGTTGTTGAAATTTTCAGATTTTCTTATTCACAGGTTCCAACTTCCTTGTACGAGTCATTAAGCCCATATTCTTATCCGGTTAGTTCGCCTATCAATGTGGAACAACCCCTTCCTGTTAGTGTTTCGCCTTGTCCAGACAACAATCCTGCTTCCTCAACTTTTCCTGTTGAATATGGTATGGACTACGTCGAGTCAACACTGACTGATCAGATGGTTGCAATTAATCATCAAACCCACAATATCATCCCGGAGGAAGATGTGGATTTCACAAGGGACTCGAATTTTGATCCTCAGCAAGTCGAATTGATAATGGACGATCTGTTGAATTCGTCCGATTTGACTTTTTTGCAGAAGATTTACAGTCCGAATGATCAGGTAAATTCAAACAGTTTTGAGAAATGCAGATAACATTTTGTGCTTTCAGGTGGAAAACAATGCCTGTCGAATGCAAACTAAGATGTATTTAGCCCCATCGGAATTTCTCACATTTGTCTACCAACATGCAGAAACGAATTTTAAAGAAAAAACACAGTGGCTTAGCAGTCTCGATGAATTCGATTCGCTTTTAGATGATATCCTCAAAGAATACAATGTGGTGCCTGATGTTAACAGCATGGATTGCTATTAGTTAAGTGTAGAATAAATATGATTTTAGATTGGCTTGGCCAATAAAACGGTAAGAAAGAATACAAATTAGGCTAGTGCTTATGAAAGTTCGAACAAATAGAAAACAGGGTAATAACCATTTATAATTTTTGTATTGCAATGGATTTTTCGGTAGTATTTGCTTCATCTAGGATAGTTCTGAGGAAAAATAGAGAAATATTCGAGTGCATTGTTGCGAAACTGCCATGTGTGTTATAATGCTTGCTCTCTCGCAGGGTGTTTAGGTTTTTTCGTCAAATTAAAGCTGATGCAACAGTTGATTTTATTGTTAGAGTAAACTGCATTTTTTTGTCTAACTGACTGAAATAAAGCGCCAGTCATTACTAATAAGACTAGTGTTTTTTCTCGATTATTCGTACATTGCAATAAAACTATTGTTGATTTAAAATACTCCTCATTGATACCCCAATCCAATGGCGGACTGAATAACTCTACTGAACATATTTGTGAGCTAGTTTAATATAAATAAGGAATTAATTGAACAATAACTGGACTGACTAAACAACTACCATTATACGAATGTTGCTTATGCTTCATAGCCGTCAGGGAGGGCGTTTACCTTGGGGTTATGGACAAAACTATGGTTGCCATCGCCCCAAGGGAACCTCTTGCTACGTATTGCCAGATATTCGTATTTGACGAACTTCTTCTCATGTGGATGTTTGGCATGATCTTGGTGAACCATGTAGCAGTTTACAGCACACAAAATAATCGAAGGGAATGCGACAAAGAACGTAAGTTTCTTCCATGGTTTGTAGCCCCCTGAAATGTATAATGAATCTCTGCAGGCTAAACAATTTTCGGGTTCTTCATTAAGGGAACATGTGGGAAGAAGTTTGCTGATCACACAAGGAACGCTTCAAGAAGAGGATAGGGGCTGCGGCCCCCAGACCATGGAAAGACTCGAGGATTGTGAGTTTTTTTTGCGGAGTTATGTAACTTGCCAGATCTTAGCGAACTTACCCTCATGGATGCCAGACACTGCTGAATGTCCCTCGATTTGGACTGCCCGCTGGGCAGATGTTTGGAAGAATCTCCTCAATGCGTGGTTCAGCACTGCAGCCATATTTTTCTAAATCAGATTATCCGACGATATTCCTCTAAAAACTCAAAAATATCTACAACAGATACGAAGGATAACTGTCAGATAATTAATTAATTTTCTCCACAGATTATCAAACTGTCTCTGATCAACAGATTATCAAACTATTTAGATTGACAATTCCGTCGATTTCGACAAACGGCATTCATCCGCCAGCGATGCAGGCTGGTGAGCCGCCAAATTAAAATGTTATTCAAGTTAATTTATCATAAAAAATGTCAAAAACTCAGTTTTTTTTTTAAATGGCGCCTACTAATTTTCTTAGTCTTGTGAGATTCTCAAACAGAACCAAAATGGTTAGTACGAGCCATTTAAACAAACTGATTTTTTTACTTTTTTTATCAATTTTGATCAATAGGCTGCAAGCATGATGCCCATGCTAGCAAGCAGCATGGAGAGAATGCGATGCTATGACATACGGATGCCGGAGCTGACAAATTCTTAGAGAGGACTACAAGTTTTAAAGGATAACTCCCGAAAACTCGTAATACCAAAAAGGGGCTTTTTTAGTAGGTAAGAATCCAACACTACCCAGGGTTCGGAACACTGGGTGTCAAGATTTTTATTCCTCCAGCCGCCGGGCAAACCAAAAAAAAAAATAAAAGATTGAATGAACCACAGAAAACAGAGTAAGCTCTGTGATCTGTGGAATGAACAACCTTCCACAAACTATTCCCCCAGGGGTATGTTCTGTGCTTCTAACCTATCGTCAGTTCACGCCTAACCTAGCTAATAAAATAATTTTAAATGAAAAAATGATTAAATTAAAGCAGTGTTTGTCCTTAGGCTCAAACTGCTTGAAACACAGCTACAGGCGGCGCGTGTAAGTAAATCCAATTGAAATTTCCAACCCCAATTCTCAATTTTTCATCAGGCCGCAAACTAGGGCTTTTTCATCACAAAAAGGGGATATTGATTGCGATGATGCCCCAATAAAATACTCGACCAGCAAGGCAAAAGACTGGAAAGCCAAAGTGTCCCGAGCAGGCGTCGAGGATTCGAGACTGTGGTATGAGCCCTACGTAATTCTGGCCAGCCTTGCAGTTTTTCTCTTGTACTTTTGCGTGATACGCGAAGAGAATGACGTTGACAAAGAGTTGGATCGGTCTTTGTACTCTAGAATAGAAGGTTTAGAGGAAGTACAGCTAAGAATGACACTGAAATATAATATAGATAATGGTCTTGCAACAAAAGACATCGTCAAGAGGCTGAATGAGATTGAAAAAGAAAAAGCAAGGATATAGTGAGATGAATGCCAATAGATTACTGTAGTAATATGTGCTTTTTTGTATGATGAATCTGTGTCGAGGTAGTTCGCAGTCAAACAGGAAAATAGCAGGCTGAACGAAATAAATCAAGACAATTTTTCCCATTTCCATGTCTCCAGTAAAGTACCTCGACTAAACGTCTTACGTCTTTTCTCACAAAGTAGCTTCCAATTATGCAAAAATCTGCTATGCTTTCAATATTTTTTACAGTGCTTAGGAAGTACAAAGATGGATTCTTTTTTGGAGATTCATCAATGTTGAGCCTAATTTTCAGACAAAAAAGAAAAAATGCATTTCTGACATACATAATTAGCGTTCAATTGGCGAAAGAATTCGTGCGTTTCAAATTTTTTTTTTACTGAAAACATTCATTGTTATTTCTCGCAGCTTGTAAGTCCATATTTTCAGAGCGGTTTTTGCAATTTCAAAAACTATCAGTATATAATTTTAATTAAAACTCCAACACTGCAGACAATAATGGATTTCCAAGATTTACACAATAAAGGGATTATTCTCTTCTGAAAACCTCTGAACAACCCACATCGAAAATGTGGCCAATTTTAAATATCAATAATATTATTACTTATTATGTTAAAACGATAAGTTCTCTTATACAAATATATATTTATTTTTCTACAAAAAGGTCCACTCGTATGCTACTGTACTTGAAACTAACATACCTTAAGTTCGAAGAATTCGATTAAATTTGCTTATAAAGCCGATTTACATAAAAAAATAACAGTGTGGAAAATACAATTGCTTAAATTTCAATGTTCATCATCCTAACGTGTTACAATTTTAAGTAGAAAATCGAGACTCAAATAAACTGGATGGGAAATAATTAAAATCAAGAGATTCTGTTTTGCATAAAGTGTGTATTTCAAGATACACACCTTATTACAAAACAAAATCTCTTGAAAGGAATTACTTTTATACGTAGCATCTACAACTTCTTAAAAAATCATCAATTTCTCACTGTTTGCTCTTGAAACAAAATTACATCTTGCATAAAGATAAGTGAGTGAATAAAAAGCCATTCGGAATTATTTACATAAAAACGTGTAAAGAATACATATTTCTTGGCCATTACACTTCTTTATCGCGAAATGGTAATCAACTATTATAAGATTGAACAAACTCAAAATAAAGACATAGTCCGAAATCCTATACAATATCCAATAATTCATTTTATAAACGCTTCGGGAGGAACTTTTCCTTGACTGAACAGGTTTTGAAAAATAGCACACGCACGATTATAGTCCCATTCATTTCCATCCAAACACCTAAAAGTACAATTGAATTTACAGAGTATTTAAAAAGACGACATAGACTTACTTGATGGACCATTCCAAGTTCATTCCAGTCTTGAGAGCTAATTGATTCACCATCTCTTGTCTAGCTCCATTATCGACAATAGGTGATGCGACAGCATGAATGACCGGAGAAGCTTCTGGTGTGGATGGAGGCGCAGCAGTACCCGATGCTGGTTGAGGAAGCGAAGGGGTTTTAAAGGCTTCCTGCAAAACATTCAAATAACATTTCGGTTAGCTTAATAAAGTCATTTTACTACCTTGGCTTGATCTGGAGTGGCATTTGTGATATGATACTCTTCATTAGCTATACAAAAGCCAGATCCCGCGGGAACAATCACTATCGTTCTAAAGAAGAACCTGGTAGGCGGTATTTTATGGCCGGTGTTCAGTTCCTTGAAAATGCCTGATATGCTCAAGCACAGCATCTGAGACTAAAAAAAGCTGATTTTTCCACAAGTTTTAAACTGCATAAATTGTTGAAAACGTACTGTGAATAACGTGAGATCGACCGTAAAACTTTGGATATCGTGCTTCGTGTCGGGCATATCTTGCAGAAAAGAGACGATACTAAGTTGCCCTTGCTTCAGCAGTTTACACCTCCGATCGATATCCACAACTTTGAAAACGTTTCGATTTTCTGTTTGGTACCAGTTCAGCCATGATACGTTTTTATCCTTTCCCAACCCATAAGGGTACGCAGTTGTGAACGAAAACATGGCGTTTTCATGATAAGCCGCTAACAGCGGCTGTCTGTTTTTGCTGTCGTATATCAGGAAATACTGCTCTAAAAATTGCTTCACAATCGCTTCGCCTTCAGTATTGCACAGGAACGTCTGCTGTGGATCTGGTAGATTAGTTTCCTGGGCGATATCAAAGCCTATTGGCGGTGGCAAATCTATTCCGTCCTAAATTGCGATTTTTACTTAATATTTAAACCTCACTATGAACAATTGTTACTCACCAGCTTCATGCACTTGGGAAATTTTCTTCGCACCTCACTGTAGACAAGAGAAAAGTCGGAGCCGCATACGGCCCGAATAAATTTATTACAAGGATCCTGTAACACTCGCTCAAAGTACAGCAGTATAAAGGCAATCGACACACACATCGATCAAAAGCATGCAGTTATTTCACTTTCATACATTATTTTCGATACACAATTTGCATTATATTTTGAATTGGTGCTTAAAACCGCCTTAATAATCAATTCGGCAATCTATCGATAGTGTCTTAAAGCAAATAAATAAACTGTTAAAACGGAACTATCTTGCAAATACCTCAATATGAGCATCAAATCCCACATTGGCCGAGATTAAACACCTTAGTCCGAATGAATTACTTGATTCGCTGATTACAAAATTGATTTAGATTGCCTTGATATGACTGACAAAACCTAGAAGCAATTTGGTGTTATTCGAAAAAAAATGGATTATTGCCATTAAAGTTACTTCTAACCGAATTTCAATTATACGTTTCTTAAAATAGGGGCATCATTGGCTGAAACTGTTCGCTTTTGCTTCGTGCTTTCATCCAAATTTACAATCAAATAATTTGGTTTAGTCGCCAAACAATAAAAATTGAAATAGTAAGTTATTCTCAGTTAGTCTTTTTTATTGTTCTTTTATATTTTTTTTAATTTAATAAACAAACGTAAACTGTTTTTAAAAGATCACGACTAAACCTCCAATTGTCAATTAAAACACGGTCTATAAATCCGAAATGTCTAATTTTCTATAGATTTCCTAGTCCTCCACTTTATTTCGACAATTAAACCTGCTACTGACTCTCTTCACTCCAAACACAGAGCCTTCGAGGCCTGCTTAGGAGATTTTCAGTCAGGTTGCATCTCACCCTTATGAGAACCGTCTTTCGGTTGAACGAAACTCAGGTGAGGCGTGCATGGCCGGTTTTTATCATTTGCCTACTAAAAGCTTGGACTAGTACGTCGATAGGAACCCGTAATAAATAGCTGCAAAAGTGAGCAAAGTATGTGAAAATATGACAAAACGTGTTTTAAAAGACGCACTGGAACCTCAGTCGTCCTTAAAAAAATTACATGTTTTCTGTGTAAGTATGCCGAAGCCCTAGATTTGATAATTTTTGAGGAAATAGAACGACGCCAAATCATCTGACTGATCATCGAATGTCTTCATTGAAATATTTACTCCAAACATTTTCAGCCAATATGCCCAAATTGTAAGCAATTGCGTAAATTACATAGTGATATAATTGCTGTAGGTTTTGTAAGCCATCAGTGCAACTTCACTCATTTCATAATGCTAAATTGTTTCATGCCAACAATGTACCGAAACTCTCGGGGGGTTGTTTCTGCCCATTGGCAAAAGTTAATTCTGAAGTCACATTTCAATCACTACTGTAGGAAAAGGGTCAAAAAACCTGAAAATCATACCTGATATAAGAATTCTGGTCCTTATACTTATCACACAGAGGATTTCCATCCAAAAACAAGTCCACAATCGGTAGCCCGATGAACGTATCCAATTGCATTATGTCCCTGATCTAGTATAATACAAATTTTAATTTAACCTGCTGCAAATCCTCCATTGGACTGGCCCCTTACTTTGTTATTAGATAAATGTAAAATTTTGATATGCGGAAACCTTTTCGACACTTTCTTCAGAAAGCCAAACACTCCAAGCTTGTTATCGTTTAGACAAATCGCCTCCAAAAACGGTATGTTGGCTTCAATTATCTCTAGTACAGTAATGAAAACAACAGGCTTAAAGATGGCGCAGAAATGATCCTGCAATGGAAAACTTACATAAAAACCATAAAAACATCTAATTCGATAACGCACTTGCAAATCAGGGTCAGCATGGAATTTTGTAAGGTCCAAGGCTTTAGTGGTGGCATTGTATCTTCTGGCCATAGCGACTTTCATTTTTTCCTTGACTTCGGGAGTTAAGTCGACATTAGGGGTGCCGGGATGGACGCGAATCACCAGTTTAAAACCACTGGGCAACTGGAATTTTCTGTCCAACGATAGAAGCTTGTCAGCTACTTTGTATTCGTCCACGTAAAAGATTACAGAAGATCCGGCCGTTTGCCACTGTAACAAATAGTTTTTACTCATGCACTCCTTTACACCTTTACCATACTCACTGCCACGGGACAAAGAGGCAGTGGCTGTATTTTTTCCAGCAAGAACTTCAAAATGAAACTCTTCTCATATTTATCGCCATAGGGGATCTAAAAATATATGTATTTATGTAAAATAAGGTAGAGTATAACAGAGCCCGTGGACTTACCGTGACTCTGTACCATCCCGTGGGGCCTACCAGGCATCTTCTCATCTCAATGGGATTGGGTGAGGATTGTCTGCCTCCTCTGCCTCGTTTTCCCTTTCGGTAATTCTTCACAAAGCCCCCACCGGCTCCACCAATATTCATATCAATATCCTCTTCCTCCAGGTGCAACCGGAGAGCTTTCGTATAGTCCTTGATCCTGTGTGTGTGATCAGAGCGGTTACGGCCAGGTTTAAAAGACACTCGACGATTGCCACCTCGAAAATCATCCCCGTGGAATTCACGATCTGGAATTAAAGTTGTCGCTGTTTTAGTCAGGAGCGATTTGCCAAAATATGTAGTCACAATTTATTTACAAATTATTAGACCTTTGAACAAGAGAATACATTAGAAGTCAGTCGGCTGCGGTTTCTACGACAAAAAACTTCTGCGTTGTTGAAGAACCCTGAAGAAAGAAATCAATTTTTCGAAAGCATCGTTTTTCTGAGAACCAGAATTGACGCAGATACAAATAGCAAATACACTGTATCCAAGATAAAAAAGGGCCAGTATGGGGATGTGGAAAACGGTAATTTACATTCGTTCTTCACATCACGTGGTTTGATAAATAAATATTCACAGGCATGTTTAAATTATAATGTTGAAGTTTCTTGGTGACCGTCAAGTTTTTGGGAGGAGTTCCCACCTCACTAGACTTGAGTGGGGAGCAGTGGGACTTTAGGAACGCCTGGCCGCCGCTACACAGTACAGATTCACAGTTTTAAGAGCGGACAAGCCATTATGAAACATCCTGTATTGCGATGTTGCTGGCAACGTCGGGTATCTTAAGGAAACAATCAGCTGGAATGCCACAAAGAGAAAACTCAACCTTCAATGTTAAGGGTTCCTAAAACTGCATTGCCATCATTTACCTATACAACTACTTCGCAAGCTATTTGCGAGTATTTTCTGCCAAAATGTACACAAGCTGCAAGTGTGTTTTAAGGAAAAACACTCGAAACCTTCTCCCAATCAAACCAATTACACATGAAGGTAACAAAGAGAGCACGAACTGACCACGATACAGACGATTTTCTCAAGACCCCATTACAAACAACATTATTGTTGCAAACGAGTTCCTCATGAATCGTAGTCCCGTTTCGCACACGCAATTACCAGAAAACTTCATCAAAAAACCCAAATTAGAGAAAAATGTGGTTCCTAGACTAGGGGCTTCCAGGCTAAAGAGCTAAACGCAATTGAAACTCACCTCCTCCATTATTGCGATTTGGGAACTTTTGGGAGTGCGGTTTGGGCATCATTGTAATCCACAATCAAAAAGTTTACTTTAAACTAGTTTTAATGGGAACTTTCAGTTTTCAGCAGAAAATTACAATAAAACTAAAATGTCCACCTTGTCCACTGACAATTATCTGACAATGACGGCTGTCAGTTCCCGTTCCAATTCTAAAGTCATGTGAGTTGGTGTGACCAATGAGGAATCCACCAGATGCAGCCAGTGAATGGCGCCAAATTTAAAATCGGCATTTAGTGGCACTGGAGAAAAAAGGCTCAAGTTTACTTATAAAAAAATATTTTAATGCACTCCTAGTAATAATAAGTCTTAACTAATATCCTCAACAGATCTTTTTGTTCAGTGGACAAATAAGGCCAGAAATCTGCCTCGATTTCCACCAAATTAGTCGTGCTCCTTGACTGGCAGGAAGTAACAAGAGATTGTAAAAGGATAAACAATCTTTCTGTCATCCTGCAAGCTAAATAAAATCTTCATAGTTGCACGGAATTGTTGATCTATCAAATCTTACCCTGTAAGGTTTCATCGTTTTGATCCCCCCATGTATACTTCTCGAGAATCTTGGCAAAATCGGCAGAAATATTGTGGGGACTTGGCCGTAAAATCAGTAACAAAAATACTGAATTCACTTCGCACTTGAGTAGCAGTTCACATGTATGACCGTTTAAGTAGCTGTTTTGCAAAATTGAGGCTATTTTTTGGTAGGTATGAACACCAGAAACGCATTCACCTACATGTCAAGAATAAAAATACCAATTAAACAATAATAGGCGATAAATATACTTAAATGGCAAATACCTGTGGAAATATAATACGAAGCAAGCAAATCCAAGCAATGAAGATGGGCTTCTGCTGTGCCTTTGGACAATTCTAAAGCATTATTCAGATATACTTCCAGACTTTCCGTACACTCTATTCTTTTCAGATATTCGATAATTTCGAGATTCAACCCTAAAGCCAATAGACTATCTTCTGGGTACCGTGAGGAGGCATGATTGTGGCAGGCCAGACCAGCCTAAAACTCCACTTATCACCAACACTCTGTAAATTAAACATTCAATCAGAACCTGCAGGCTTTCACTGCTAACACTAATGCAGCCAATATCCAGGTCGTCATTTCCTGCTTTTAGAAACTGCCTTCCCGCCCTCACCAGAAGGGAGGTTTCACTAACTGGGTGGCTCAAAGAGCCTTCACATCTGGCAGCAGCTAACCAACTCATTGCAGCATATTGCGGCAGCTCTTCGGATTCACAGTGATGACCCAGGCTAATAAATCCTTCTGCTGCTTCGGCTTCATTTGGTTTGCGTAGAAAGCGCCTGAAAACCTTCAGGATTATCGGTGGTCTATCAGAAACTGCTTCAGAACATCACTTTTTCAGTTTACTTGCTATTGATCTGTATCTGTCTAGTATTGTATAACCCGTGGCTTCGCTGGACATAATTCGACCTTAACTGTGGTCGAGTTATATTTATATTTTTTTTTCAGTTTTTTTATTAACTGTAAATATTGGTATTGTTTGTTGATATGTTTGACAACCGCAGGAAAACGTCACAGACAGCTGAGCAGCTGACAGCGGTGTTAGAGAGGTTAGAGGGATGAATAAAAAACCAAGCAACCTTCAATAGCACATTTTGCCCAAAATTACCACAAAAATCTTAGTTACTCAATTTTGAAATTTCAGTAGCTGCTTTTAGGACGAAATACATTTAGTTTTAATGTTTTTCCCCCTAAAGCCATTATGACAAGCCTGCCTGATTGAGATCAAAATTGTCACTGTCAAATGGACAGTCATCAATTTAAGAAAATCTTTTGAAAACATCAATTAAACAATATCTTCATTAAAGGTATTTCAAACTGCTCCACTACATAAGCCAATGTTACTTGAGTAAATCCAAAGTCATTCAGCTATCTAAAATCTATCACGAATATGTCGTGATTAGGTTATGACATTGTTGTTATGTAATTTTTTCAATTCCCCAAACACCACTGTTCGATTTTAGATAAAGTATGCTGCGTACTACCTTGGGTAAGGTCCTAAATGGGGGCCCATTGAGCCCCAAGCATGTTGGCATTCTGTCAAGGGCCAGCAGCCAGGGACCGAAGAAGCCCGAGCAAATTGAAGTGTTCATTGATGATGTCCCTGTTAAGGTCGATCCGGGAACCACTATTCTACAGGTACTGACACTTGGTTTTACTAAATTCAACAAGGAATGAAAAAACTATGGAGTACTAACTTGTAGGCAGCAGCCCTAGTTGGCGTCGAAATCCCTCGCTTCTGTTATCATGAAAGGCTGGCAGTTGCTGGCAACTGCAGAATGTGCCTCGTGGAGGTCGAAAAGAGTCCCAAACCCGTTGCAGCATGTGCGATGCCTGTAATGAAAGGTACTTTTTTTTATTTTTGCACTCTGTCAGGTCTCTAAGGGTTCAAACTATTGCTTATTAGGGTGGAGAATCAAAACTGACTCAGAAATGACGAAAAGGGCTCGCGAGGGTATCATGGAGTTTCTGCTGGTAAACCATCCTTTGGATTGCCCAATTTGTGACCAAGGAGGGGAATGTGATTTGCAAGACCAGAGCATGGCATTTGGTTCAGATAAATCAAGGTAAAAAACCGATTTTTAAACTTTGCCATCTAGAAGCAAAAAATGACGTGAATTTGCGCTCAAAACATCTCGTTTAATTCAGATTTACAGATATTGAATACAGCGGCAAAAGAGCAGTGGAAGACAAAGATTTTGGGCCCCTGATCAAAACCATCATGACTAGATGCATTCACTGCACTAGATGCATCCGATTCGCTTCAGAAGTAGCCGGAGTTGATGATTTGGGTAAATTTTTAACAGAAATGAGTTTATCGGAATAAAGCCCAATATGAATGCAGGTACAACTGGCAGAGGCAACGACATGCAAATTGGCACATATGTGGAAAAGATGTTCCTATCGGAACTATCAGGGAATGTTATTGACTTGTGCCCAGTGGGGGCTTTAACTAGCAAGCCGTACAGTTTCACTGCAAGGCCCTGGGAAATAAGGAAAATTGATTCTATCGACGTTTTGGACGCCATTGGATCAAATATCGTCGTATCTTCCAGGACTGGGGAAGTGATGAGGATCATGCCCAGAGTTAATGAAGAAATTAATGAGGAATGGTGAGACTGGGATTTTTCAAATGCACCCTTTATTCATAAATTTAAAAAATTATCTGATTTTTAGGATAGCCGATAAATCTCGATTCTCCTACGATGGCTTGAAAAGACAGCGACTGGTCACTCCAATGTTAAGAGACAACACTGGTGAATTGAAACCAGTAGATTGGGAGGCTGCCCTTCTAACCGTGGCCAAACAAATAAAAAATGCCGGTAATTCTGAAAACAAACGTAAAATTCCCAGTTTTTTATACTTCTGTATGGAACAGGTTCAAGTATTGGAGCAGTTGCGGGTGGTTTTGCTGATGCTGAAGTCCTAGTCGCAGTCAAAGACCTTCTGAACCGCCTGGGGTCTGAGGCTCTCTGTACTGAGCGCACTTTCCCTACAGACGGATCCGGAACCGACTTGCGTTCAAGTTACTTGCTTAACAACGGCATTGCTCTAGCCGAAGAAGCCGATTATGTGCTTTTAGTGGGCACGAATCCTCGACTGGAAGCGCCGTTATTGAACTCCAGGTAAACACTTTCACTCATATTTTCTCACTCAACATGACTCTGTTTCCAGGTTAAGAAAAGGCTTCGTGCACAATGAGCTAGACGTGGCCTTGATCGGTCCAAAAGTTGACCTTAGTTACAAATACAATCATTTAGGGGATAGCCCGAGTGTCCTGCAACAGCTAGTAAGTGGTCAGCATGAAGTAAGCAAGAAATTGCAGTCAGCGAAGAAGCCGTTGATTATTGTCGGCTCTGAAGTGTTGGAAAGATCGGATGGAAGTGCCATCTTGGCTGCTGCTCAGAAGTTATCCGCCTCAACCAACCCAGAAGCAAAGGAATGGAAAGTTTTAAACGTGCTACATAAAGTGGCCAGCCAGGTGATAGTTACAGACGCTAAGTTTAAAAGATTAGCGAAATTAATGGATGTTTTTTTAGGTTGCCGCTCTAGATATTGGATATGCTCCTGGAGTGGATAAGATCAGAGAATCCAACCCGAAAGTATTACTGCTATTGGGTGCAGATGACGGCGCTATTGAAAAATCAGATTTGCCCAGCGATACCTTTGTTATCTACTTGGGTAAGTTCAAACGAACTTGATTTAGAACCATCATTTAAATTAGATTCATATTGAATACGAATTCGTGAGAATTTTTTTGCGGCTGCTCGTTCATTTCGGAATCCTTAGTGAAGAAAATAGTGTGATCTGTTAGTTAGTGAAATGGAAAAGTTTATCGTTAACCGGTTCCTTTGTAGGTCATCATGGAGATTTGGGGGCTTCAATAGCAGATGCTATCCTGCCGGGTGCAGCCTATACGGAAAAACAAGCCACATATGTGAACACAGAGGGAAGGGCACAACAGACGTTGGTTGCAGTTACTCCACCTGGCCGGGCTAGAGACGATTGGAAAATTATCCGGGCACTATCTGAAATTGTGGGCGCTAAATTGCCTTACGATAATCTAACCGATATCAGAAATCGACTGGATGAGGTCGCACCTCATTTGACCAGATATGGAGAAGCTGAAAATGCCAATTTCTTCAAACAGGCACAGGATTTGGCAAAGGTAATGTCTCTTACTCATCAAAAAAATCTCTCTTTTTTTTAGAAAGAATTTACGTTTTCTCTGCATCAAACTTTTAGAATAAGTATGAGCACTTTAAAGCACACTTAGACTACAGGGCGATTTTCTTCAACGAGTTTTTTTTGCAGAATGTGAAAACTCAGCTGGACAATACGCCTTTGGATGTAAAGCTGAAAGAGCTTTCCGACTACTTCATGACTGATTCGATCAGTAGGGCTTCCCCAACAATGGCAAAGTGCGTTCAAGCCGTGCTCAAACAGAAGCAGTCGAAATTCTAGAAACCACATGCGTTTTTAAGTGATAACTAGAATAATTAAAACATTTTCACTGTGTAAGCTGTTTTGTTTTGATGTTGAACACCTTATGCTTAGTTTGTATAAGTTGTATATTTATATTTAAGTAAATTCATAATAAATACAGTGTGCTGTTGTATTACAAGGTACATGTTTCATTCAGGGTAAAATTAAAGGAAATAATAATTAATGAACAAACTTTCACTTTCGAAATTTTGCTAATTATTTTCAAATATATTGGCCTAAAATGAATGTCATTATATTTAATAAATAGATATATTTCAAAAATTCTAATTGACCTACTTATATAAAAAAAAATCGTATGGCTTGCACTCTATCCGACTATACATATAGAATTGACTCTACATGCCCTAGATTCTCCTAGTTCCGAGTTGCGTAATCAGACTTAGGAAAGACAGTCGTTGTGTCTCTTTTCTACCTAGAGGCAACTAGATAAAGACAATGTGTTTTTATGATCTTGCTCACCTTGACGTGTTGAAAGGACAATCATTCTGTTACACTGAAGAGAGAAAGAAGACGATTTTGACAAAAATACGCCTGACGTCACCGTTTTTACACACGTTGAGTGACGGCGATATGGTGAGCTTGTAGTGAGTGTTTATTTACCTAATCCGTGATTCAATCGAAAGACCTTAAGATGGACTTTTTGTTTTAATAAACTCGCAGTGTATCGTATGTATCTAGTTCAGTGCCTACGATCAGTTTTACAAGCAATTACCCCAGAAAATTAGGTAAGAATATAGGTTAGTTACCAACTAGCCATCATTGGTAAAAATATCAACAATTTTTAACGATAAAGCCTTCGCGTTCGAATAACGACCAAAAGTGGCCGTTATTTTTAATCTCGAAATGGTACTAAAAATAATTTGGTTATTTTTAAACATTTTCCTTTGAGGGGATAGTGCTATTTTAGTCAATTTATTGGTGTAAGTAGTAGTGTTGATTTAAGAGGGTAAAGCAAGCAATTCTGCAATATTTAATTAAACGGCTTTAATTAGAAGGGTACAACAAGGCTTGTGCATTAGCATTTCAAATATTAGCATGTTCTGAACTGTGGTTTAAACGTATAGGCTAAGTAAACATTCTAGGTGTTCTTTGGGGCACAATTCAGTCTCTCAGTGTAAGACGATAGACGATTCTTTTTTGGAGTTAAACTGCCTTAAACAATTTTCGCTGAATTTATTTTCTTAAGTAAATTTGTTTGCCTCTTCGTATCTACGTTCGTTCAAAATTCCTCATTTTTTTCAATTTCTATCGGTCGCTTCATTGAATATGTTTTTATTCATTTGCAAGATTTTTCATTAAATTTAACTCAATTGCAAATTAAATTTTTTTTGGACCTTTTAAGTATAAGATCAACCACACGATTCATACTAATAAAACCTAAAAATGTAGTGAATTTTTCGTCCGACTAATACCGACAATATTTAATAAAAATTAATTGAAAGTGTATTCATTTATTACTTCTGCATTTTCATTATTTTTTATGATCATTCATTACTTATGTATTTATTAATGCAATTATGGCAAAATGCCATAAATTTATTAATTTTAAATAACAACGCAATAGAGAAAAAAACGCCAATTAATTGATGCATTACAGTACCTAACAATGAAAAAGCAAAAGAGTAAACATTAATGAGCCCAGAAAATTTAATTCAATTAGAAACGAGAAAAAAAATTGTTTCTTAGCTAATCTTCGATTTATCAGAGGAATCTCTATCTATTCTCAATTAGCTCCAATCAGTATCAATTCCTGCTTTATTTGTTTACACAATTTTCAGATTTATACTTGATATATCAATACGAGTAATCTTTCAGAGAAATCAATTTAAATTTGTATGTTCTATCATTACTATACAATTATTCAATGCATTAGCCGCCCTGATGAGTCTTTAATGTATGTTTGACAACAAGTATCCAAGTTATTTTCACTCCAGCCCAATTTTCATAGGCTCTAAGTTGATTATTGTCTCTAAGCCAAAGTAAATCGGTACGGATCACCCTGGTTTATCCTCTTAAAATTTATAATAAGAGAAGGCATTGCAAAAAAAACCTCGTCCTAAAGTCGTTTTTTAAGTTCTTAAAAGTTAATGTACTTGTTAGAGAACGGCAAAGATGAGCGGAATGGATTTGCGATCCAGCAGGTCCAGGTCAAGGACTCCTTTTACCACACAAGAGGCATTTAGCAAGGACGAGATTATTGCTGGAAATAACGTAGGAAAGACAGTAATTCGGACGACTAGACGAACAACTCATATCATTCAGTGAGTATTAAAAATGTTTTAAATTAAGAAAAACAATTTTTTGTTTGGCAAATTTAATTTGCCATAGTAGCATTTTACAATGTTACACTTTTTTACACTTTAAACACTTAATAATTTTTTGAACACTAATTCTGGTATTGACTTTGATCTTGAACTGATCAGCTTTCTCCTAAATAATCCTTCACATTGATGACGTGATCAGGTAAAGCGCGGTCCATAAATTAAATATTACCGTTTGTTTACCGGGAAACTATTCTTAGACATTTGCTTTAATTTAGATATGCGTGATTATGGCAGCATTTGAATGTGTGGCAAAACATTGCGAAATTAGATAGATTTAAATTTAAATGGCATCACCAATTACTTTTCAAATTACAGATCAAACAAAAATGCCTCAAGTTCTACAGATGAAGTTAACACGGCTAGAGAACATGTGGCTGAAAGCGCCAGCAACAAAAAGGGCTCGAAATCCGGAAGATCGCTACGTAGTCGCATCTTCAGAACCTCGGATTACTCCTCGGAAGATGGAGATAACGAAGTAAGTTCCAGCAGAACAATTAAGCAGAACGAGCAAAATCAGCTTGTGGAGGATGCCAGAAGTTTTGCCAATGAAAGCGACATGCCTGCTTTAGAGTTGTATAGAAAGAGCGGTCGGTATTGGGAGTAAGTAGACTAAACTTGTTTAATTCTTAGAAAATTTGTTTTGTAAACTGAAGAATCTAACAAATCCGGGCCTGCACTACTTGGGCTATTTGGTACATTTACAATATTTATTTCAATATCAAAGCCATGTTTACCTTATGAGAAATAATAAATTTTATCGAAATAAATTATCTCTACTTTGGCCCTCCTTCAACAAGAAATAGATTCTTTCAAAATTCCTGTGCGTTCGTACCCTGCAGACGTGATTATTTAGACAGTTTGATAGATAACGTACAACAGCTTGATTTACATTTATATACAATTGAATTAACTTGTAATTTATCGACGGTTTTTATTGGGATTAATTGCTACTGACTGATGTCACACTAATAGTAATTGGATTATTTTCAGTGTTTATCCCAAAACCGACTGGACTTACTCCCAGTACTCTAAGGACAGAGTAGAAATAGCCCCTGGTGTAGTGGCTATGCCTAATATGTCACGAAAAACTATCCATTCCTTGGATGGGTCCAGTCAAGATTATTCATCGTTCCAGTCGTCTGAATCATTATATTCAGGAAATGTGGCTCACAAAAACACCAACACCGACTATATCGGGTCGGTATTCAACGGTAGTCGTATTGAACACACAAACACCAAATTGGCCAATCAAAGTTCAGATGATTTTTACATCCATAGGTTTGTAAATTATGAAAGCAAAACGTTCAAATTGTTCACCTAATAATGTCTATTCCAGGCGGAGAACAACCAGAAGATCGTTTAAAGAGATAATCACACTTGTCTTTTTCTCAATTTTTACAACCATCTCAACAATATTCCGTTACTTCTACAAGACGCAAATTAGCATATTTTCGCGAATTCATCGAGTGGCTAGCACGGTGATGTTATGGGATACGTATCTGCTCTGGAAGACAATATCCACAAACAAAACCCGAAATTTGCTCATTTTGTGTCTGCTACCGCTTTTGATCTTTGGGGGTAAGTAACTGTTTGCTTTATTAAAACTTTGCCAGTTATGGTCCTTGGAATAAGCTGAGTAACGATTTAAAATGCAATTTGGTGCAATTAAATGATCATGATTACCTTCCAAACATTTTCTTGCTTTGAACCACTCACCTTCATATTCACAAAGAATTACAGAAGTTCTGCCATTTGTTTAGAAACTTTTGCCACAAACTTTAGAAGTTCAAATAACTAACCGCTACATTCTCTGTGCGGGTTTTTAAATAAAAAACTATGAATCGCTTGAATCGACAATAATGGTTAAGTTAGTAAGTAATACATGGGAACATTTTTACTGTTAAATTGAAGAAAAACAGTTATTCTTCAAAAAAAGTTGTATTTGGACTTACAAGCAACAGTCAAATATTGATATTTTCTTTTGTATACAATGTTTCTCAAAAAGTCAGCAAACTATTTTGATTCAAGGCTAAAGTAACTTTTTTCAACACACGATAATTTTCATCAGGAAATTATCCTGTATTTAATACGAATTAAAATTGCAAAACTTTTTATAAAGAAACCTCAAATTTACAGCGTTTTAATAAACTAACGAGAGAAAACTCGCCAGTTAAATTAATTTTAGAAAAATTCTAAATGGTTGCAAATAAAGTAAACATCTGTAGAAAAAGTTATTGTTTTGTCTATTGCTTTTCTGACTGGTTTTTAAAATAACGCACATTTAATTCATTTAAAAAATGGAAATTTTGGACTTTACATATATTTTTGTTAGCAACTTGTTTGTTATTGCACTTTCCTTTTCAGGTATATACTTGTATTTACTTAACGAATCGACCCTTGCCCTCCCCTGCCACCCATACTGTGGAAAATTGACGGTCGATTACTTTAATTCGATCACTGAATCTCTATTTCAGTTTTTTAAATCTAAGAGCGCTACTTAGTTACTACTACTGTCTCATGTTGTGCGTTAGCTTTAACTTTTTCACTTCGATTTACGTTGCATGAGTCGATAAGGTCATCACTGGATATCGGGCACTGCTGCAGTTGCTTTAGCTTTATTACCAGATGTGTTTTTTGAGACAGTCTTTCTACTTTTCCGAATTCATAGATTAACATTAATTATTCACTTGACCTTTTACAGTCAATTTATAGTAATATGTTTTATTTATATGTATTTATAGATATCTTAATGTTTTTTAAATATTCGTTTAGCAGTTTTTTATATTTACTTTGATATTCTCTACTGAAATGTTCAGTGTGTGTTTATCTTTTCGATTAATTTTTGTTTCCAAGTTAAACTTTTACCGTAAACTCTGTGCTTAAATAGAATGTACTATTTTAAAAAAAAATTAATTATTGCTATATATTGTAACGGAAATGGCCTGGGGTACTCACGTTTGGAATGGGGGGATTGAAATTGATGGTATGGGGCTGCGTAAATGGGGGCCCCATTACCAGGGTTACCTGGAGAAAACTAATTTTTTTAACTCCAATGCATTTATTACACCCGCTAGAATATATACAAAAAATCAGGATTCATCCAAGGAACAGCTTCTTTAAAACCAATATTATCTAACACTATGGAATCTCTTCAAAGCACTGGGATGACACTGAAAATGTACCCTGATATGAAAGAACAGAAATCGAAAAAAAAACATTTCTGGGGTTGGTAAACTGGATAAAACAAAACGGAATTATTTTAGATTAGACTAATCGTTATTAGTTTGCAGTCTTTAGTAAACGTTCCAAATAATTAGAAACAATGATGATTTTTAATCATCATCCTCCTCTTCCTCGTTGGCACTGGACTTCTCCTCTTCTTCAGCGGAGCTTTCTTCTTTCTTCTCCACCTTTTTCGATCTACCTCGGCGGCTCTTTGCTGACGCTGCCTTAGTGCCATTGGATTTGGCTTCGGCTTTCTTCACACCAGCCCCCTTTGGTCTTCCTCTTCCTCGCTTGGTTGGTGGAGGCGCATCTCCATCTCCATTCTTTACAACATCCTTCTTAGCTGCTGCTGGCTTGCGGCCTCACTTGGCTGGAGCTTTGCTTTGAACTTCTTCATCGGACATGATGCTTGGGTTTTTTCAACAAATTGACGAAATCGAAATGGAGAAAATCAGCAGAAAAAAAGCAGCTTAAGCCCCGCGAGTCGGAAGACCGAGTTTTCCGTTTGTTTGTTATTGTTTGAGAAGTTGACGTTAATTTAGAAGTTAGTTTGTTCCTGTTCCGTATTTAAAGCGATACCGAGTTAGTAAAAGTTGGAAGCGTAAGGAGTTTGATACTCGGCCATCCACGGTACAATATCATAGCTACTTAATACCTTGTTCTTTATTTTAAGCGATTAGATTAATTAGTTTATATCACTGTTCGTACAAATCCCCAGTTTTATTCAGCTGTTAACATAGTTTTATGCATTATACATGGTGTTTGTGGCTAATAAAGTGTGCTTAAATTACATGCGTTTCTCTTACCTAATTCTATGAACAGATTTGGTGGTTGCGAGATGGCAAGGGTCGAATTTCAATCTTTATCTTATTCCGTTTCGTCTGCAAGTTATTCTCATGTCTTTTCACATATTAACGTAGCTTTGCTTGAATCAAAAACGCCTATTTCATTGGTGCTTGCAGGAAGACCCGATAATTGCTTCCTGTATCATTATTAATGAAATCTGAATAACAAATTAACCCAAGAATGTATTTACTTGAAGTCTGACCACCATTTCTGATCAGTCCTTCACTACCATCCTCTTGATTTCAGGTCTTTGGTTGCTGCCCAGTCTTGGTAGTGTTATCTATGGAACACTAACCAATTATACTATTAATACATCAAAATCTCTACTCGATCACTTCTGGATCAACAGCGAAGACAAATTAACTCGGATTGAACGCCAAACGGACGTGAGTGGGCTCGTTGATGTTTTCAACAGCAAACCCGGCTTTAATTCGTTTCATGAAGGTGAAAGCGGTGCAGCTAAAACCGCTGATTCAAATGAAAAAATTGTTAAAATCATCGAAAAAGTCTATGTACAGCCGCCCAGTGCCAGTGATATTGCGAGTGGATTAACAAAAGAACAGCTGGAAACAATTGCTTTTGCTGTGAAGAACTCTCTGAACTTGAATGCTGAACATTCGCAGATGAATACCGAAGAACTAGTGAAAAATATTATCAATAGTCCTACTTTCGTTAACGAGGTGAACAATTATTGCAGCAACGAGCGGGGTGGAGATACTGTGAAAACTTCAAGTTCGGAAAGCGGGAAATGGAACGAAGAACTTCTGAGCAAGCAGCAAGTTCTTGTGAACAGTCTGCTGAAGGAAATTAATAATATGAAGGAAGACATCGTGATGAATAATAAGCTTCGGAGTGAAGAGTACGCCAGACTGTCTTTCAGCATGAAGGAATGTTGCGAGAAACGCCCAGTAATCAACGTGGATGGCTACGTGTTGCGAATTGTGACTGATTTGCTTAACAGCCCCGAGTTTTTGCAGAACCAAACTGGATTAAATTCCTGGCTTCAATCCCTGTTCCTTGCCAAGCAAGACCTGCAATATCACTTGGGCAACTTGACTGCTTCTATGGACTCTAAACTAGCTAGTGTCGTCGAATCCAACAGCCACACCTTGATGGAGAAAGTAGCAGATAAATTAGTGGAAATTAACAAAAAGCCTGCGGAGTCGATTAAAGTCAGCAGCGAAAACGTACTCGGACTTACCGATGAAAATTTCGTTAAAAAGATAGTGAAAGAAGCGTTGACAATATACGATGCCGATCGAACCGGCTTAGTGGACTACGCAATGGAAAGCATGGGTGGGCAGATAGTGAGCACTAGGTGTACTGAGGCGTATTATCACGGTAAAGCCGTGGTTTCGGTCTTAGGAATCCCATTATGGCATTTGACGAATTCCCCAAGAACAATCATCAAACCAACCATAGCTCCCGGAGATTGTTGGGCTTTCCAAAACTTTCCGGGTTTCGTAGTGTTGAAGTTATCGGGCAACGTGAAAATCGACGCGTTTTCTATGGAGCATATCTCCAGACTTTTGCTCCCAGAGGGCAAAATTGACTCGGCGCCCAAAGATTTCGAAGTATACGGCTTGAAGATTGAAAACGATCGGGAGCCTGTTTTGCTCGGTTCTTACAGATATGAGTATGACGGCGATACTCTACAGTTCTTCCTAGTGGAAAAAGACAGTCAAGTGTTTGATATGATTGAGATCCGGATTCTATCCAATCATGGCAATCCTAACTATACATGTCTTTACAGGTTCAGGGTTCATGGGAAGTTACATCATGACGAGAACAGATAATTTGCGCTCTTTTCGGAACGGTTTTAAGATTCTAATCTTAAGATGGATGATAATGATTAAAATGCTATTAAGTAAAAAACGCCTTATTCTAATGGGATTTTCTTCATTAAAAAATCTCTTTAGGTTAAGTTAAGTTAAATTTATTTTATACTAATTGCCATCTTTCTCCCAAGTCTTTTTACAAATCGTTGATCCACCAGTTTTATAATGTCGGTATTATATTTCAATTCTATTTCTGATCTTCTATATATAGTATTTAATATTTCTATTTCTGATCTTCTTCGACCATCTGTGAGGCATTCTTTTCTTTGTGAATATCGATATTACTTTTTTATTGGATTTTTTCATAGGTATAGGCATTTAGTTTAAAAGATCGACACCAAAGAACCTAATTATTTAAATGGCTTTAATAATAACGAGTTAACTTCAACGTTAACGATTATTTCAATATAAAGAAAAAACTACTGTGTTAATATGAATACAGTTTTACATGGATTTTGGTAAATAATTTACGTTGCTCGGATTAAATGAAGCAAATACTAAGGTAAAAGGGGGGTTGCTATCGACTAACGCGATTTCATTTAAGCATTTTAATTTTTTAAACTTTGGGTCGAGGTAAATTCTATTTTAAGTAAATATTCAATTTACTGAAGAAGTAATTCACTAGATAAATTCGACAAAACCGAAAAATCAAGTCAAATTTGGATAAAAGCGCCTGACTGATTAGGAGATCAATTTTTTCGCAAACTAGTCAGCAATATAATCAACGAACGAAACACTCAGGTACTTTTGTAAAATTTTAATTTCATTATTTATAATCTCACTGAAAGTGGAGTGCTTATGATTCAGTGCAAACAATAAATTGATAATTATAACGCTGGTATTGCACATGCAAAATATTGTATTATTTTTATGATTAAGCATCTGATGTATTTCGTAGTACACCGAATTTGTACTTAAAGCGATGTAAATATTTTAATATAACATATTTTATATAAGTCGGAATGCAGAGCAATTAGTTTTATCGTTTCAAAGGAATTACTAGTCCACAGTAGCGGCTTGTTACTAAAACAAGTTGTTTAGAATTAACTATAACTTTTTAGATGATGTAGGCTTTATCTAATTTTGGTTTGTTGAAGCCTTCCTTTAAGGGATTATTTCCTCTCTCTAACAAGCAACTGCAGTTGAATTCCAAGAGTTTGTTCTAGTTGATGTTGCTTTATGCAGGAGGCAAAACTTTTCAATTTATTTTAAGTTCAAACATGTTTATTTGAAAGATAGTACAAAGTCTTGGCCTTAATAAGCATTCTAGGTTTAGATTTATAATATTTTAGTCAACTAGTGTTATTTATTTCATTATATTGCATTAGCGCATAAGGGTGTGTTGAAAACGAGCATAAATATAGCGCGGTGATTTTAGCAGGAAAATGTGAAATTGCTCGAAAATTTGTAGCTACTTTCACCGGCCTGTGGGTAGGGCAACAAATATTGACATACCCTTATGATTAATGATAATATAATTTTTTGTTTAGTGTCTAAAAATATTCAAAACTCGGTTGTAAAAATATATTTAAGAATTTGTTTTCTTTTGAAGATTCAAGTGCCTTTTAACATAGAACTATCATCTCAGCGGTAATTTTGTGAGCAAGTTTTATAGGAAAAATCTATACGCAGTCAACTTGAAACATGTTTTGTTAATATTGGATCTCCTGTTTACTTTTTAAAACCGTGAATTTATAAATTCAAAATAAATCATTTTTGTTATATTTGTTATTGCTTGTTTCTGTTGTTATTCCCTGTTTGCTCAAAGTGGCTTTTAGGAATAAGACTGATGGTTGGAAGTGTCGGATTAGGATGGGGTTTGGCTCTGCCAATAATTGCTATTTTGCACTTAATTGAAAAGTTAATTGCGCTTTGGATGTGCAAAGTTCAAATGCTTCAGTTTGAAGTCAGGCTCGAAAAATTAAATTATAATTTTTACAACTTTTGACTTTTTTTAGGAGATGAAAAAAGTTTGCCAACTCATATATTTTTTAATTAGTTTATATTTTTTTACTATAGCACTTACCATACGGCTGCTTGAGTGGTCATCAAATCCTTTAAAAAACTCAACCTCAAATGACCTTCACGCTCACAAATATCCATTCGCCGCTCCAGTTGACAATAAACGTCAGATGGTTTGCAATTTAAAAAATCATTTTTCCTTGATAAAATCGCTCTTCCGGTCTGGAAAAGTTCACTAAACGACGAAGGAAAACTTTAGTTTTCAGAATATTGCCAAGTATTCACACGGAAAGCCCAAAATCTGAAAATCTGGTAGCAAATAATGTCAACGTCTTTCTTATTCACCATTAAGCAATCGACTGATCCGACACAATGGTGCAAAACTGTAATTAAATATGTCAAATTCTAACATTCTTCTAACATAACTTAAATTTTTTTAGCTCAGTCATTAGGGGTAAAATCGAGTAATCGAACAGGGTAGATTTCAATGGACTTTGAAACATGTGTATTAATTTTTGAGGAATTTAGGGAAGAAATTATTTCTTCGGAATGTAACCTTTTTAGATTAGAAACTGTTTAGAAAATTTAAAACGTTTGTTTGTTGAGTTCTGGAGTTCTGTTGAGGAAATCATAAATAGGTATAATCATAACATCATTATCATCATCAATAATTATAGTGATGAGTTTAATACCAGTAATAGAAGATTAAATTAAATGACGAACTTTAAGGCTATTTTGCCTTTTATTTGCTTCAAACCCTAAGAGGAAATAAAATAATTGATTATTTTATTTACTCTATGTTCAAAACTAGAGGTTTAGTAGTGGTAATTTATTGCGAGAACATATGAATTTTATTACACGAAAAATATCAGCTATCGCGCACATGTTAAAGATCTCACATATAACGTCATACATTGAAGCTGAGAACCTACTTGTCTTTATCTATGCTGAGTACTTCACACTTATTTATCAAAACAAAGCCAAGAGTTTGATGTATTTAGTGAGTGAAGTTGACAATATTTATTCGAATAATTAAAATCAACGCACTTTTAATTTCCTTCCCAAGATGAATCTACGAAGCCCATTCGGAAATATGTGAAAGTTCAGTAAATTTTAGGGTTAGACTTTAGGTAGGAACAATGGCTTCAGAAGCTGGATCTTCAGACTCCAATGAATTGGACCCCATATATTTTGAGCGTCTCAATTTATCTGACTGCACAGGGGCTAGACGGAAGCTCAAATTTACGCCCAGGCGAGCTTTAAGCGCTAACAATTCATTCAATTCGTTTCAATCCTTACCCCATTCAGATGAAAGCTCTACAACTTGTAGTCAGCCAGGTAGGTGTTTGTCTAAGTAAATCAGCCTTGAGGCTTCAAATGGAGCTTTTTACTTGCTCGGGAGTCTCTCAGGAGCCTTCAATTACTACAGCTTGATTCTCAAACATAAGATGCAACAGCGACACAAACAAAAACAATCAATAAAAGAAAGTTTAAATATTATTCAGTCGCTCCTTCCCCAACTGCTTCTATGGTTTGTTTTTGCGTATATCGCTGTTTAATGGGTAAAATCCAGCGAAAATCTACATTTTTGACAATTCTCCATAAAAGACAAATTGTAGATTCGGAACCCACTTGCAAAAAGTACCGAAAAAAAACCGGCTTTGTGAACAAAATGCCGCCCATGGGGATATTTTGGGACATCGAAAATGTGGGAGTGCCAAAACAGAAAAGCGCCGCTGCAATTGTAGAAAAGATCCGAGGGGTGTTTTTAAAAGATTATCGCGAATCTGAATTTATGGTTGTATGTGATGTTAAAAAGGAGCAGCCACTAATTATGCAAGAATTGCACGATTCTCAGGTAAACATGCTATTTGCTTGCTATGTGTGTTTTTTGGGAGCCTCCCACCAAGCTTAGGAGCCCTATTTTTTAAAACTTTTCAGAAATGTATTCAAGGCGTTTTGGTGCATTATTTTCAGACGTAGAATACATGGTTCGAATAATGCCGTTTTCCTATAAAACACCTTGTATTCAATTCAATGAATACAATACTTCAATTTTACGTGTTCAAATTTAAGTTTAAAATACGAAATGATGAATTTTTTCAACACGTATGAATATATTTTAAAAAACTTCCCGCTCTCCAATCACTTTCCCTAGATATTTTTAAGGAAAACTTTGGAGCATTAACTTAGGAAAAGCACAATGAATTACTTCACATACGAAGTATCTTGGATAATTATCTTAGCATGTTGCAATCGTTTTAGGTCAATTTGATTCACGTTTCTTCAACCTCAAAGAATGCGGCTGATGATAAATTGAGACAATCATTGAGGCGGTTTTCCGATGTCCATCCTGCTCCTTCAGCTATACTGTTAATTACTGGTGATATAAATTTCGCTGCGGATTTATTCGATTTAAGGTACATTTTTAGCTAATTCTTTTGACAGAAAGGCGCGTTTACTATTTGTTCAAATGTAAATAAATTTGTATATTTATTTTATATATTAAACACACTTGGTAGGAGTCAAATGTTGTTATTAAACCCATTATTTAAAGGTATTACTTGTACAAATGTGCAGGTTTTCCTCCCAAATTCAAGTCTTGATAGCACCTAGAATAATTTATTTCACTAGGTATCGAAAGAAAATACGAGTAATTCTCGTCCACAACGTAAACGTATCGGATGCTTTGATTTTGAGCGCGAATGACCACTATATATTTACAAATTTAATTCAATGTGTTCCGTCCACTTCGCAGCGAAAAACCGCAGTAGGTACTATTTTTGCTACTTGTAAAATAGACTTAGAAATTAAGTATTTTGCAGAATTCCCACACTTACTTCTATTTGACTATTCACAATTTGCCAAAGAATATTGACCAAAGAAAAGTGAAAAACCGACTAGGATTTTTAACGAACAACTGCGGAGGCAAATGTGTCGAGTTTCTAAACGAGAAGGGGATTGCTTGTTTCCGATTTGGAAACTTTGATTTAGCCCTAAGGTCAGTAATCGATATTGTTAGTACGTCAGACTAAGAAGAGTTTGATTGCTTTTGAAGAATATGTTTGTTGTTTAATTTTTAGGAAGATCTTTTACCATTTTTAAACCACCCGCTTAATCTATCAAATACAAATTCACGATTGAAACCTAATAATATCAACATTCCTAAACGAAATGTAGGCTGTCTACTTTTTTATAATACATAGAAAAAAGCAGCAGATTTACAGTCATGTGCATGGTACTACCACGTTAAAATGCTCCGTTTGTTTCACTGAATTCACTTCAATATTTCGGTGTGTTAAATTCCAATTTAGTGTTTCCTGAATAAATTATGGGAAGTTTCAAACCGTATGATAAGAACAATAGGTAGGCTTAACAGAAATTGTCCCCAGCTGATTTTTTTGAAGTTCCAGCGTTTTATGGAATCAATCGAAATTGAGAACGACTTGAACCGCAGCTTTTGATTGTTTTATCAAATGTAACTTGAAACGCAGCAATTTGCTAGATTTTTCCTGGTTTCGTGGTTAATTCACATACACACACACATTTTACAAATTTTTTCATCAAATAGTTTACGGGCATGACATTGTAATGGACTGCCGTCTCAACTTATAAGAAAATCAGATTTGTTTCCAGTGAAATCAATTCAAAGTGTTTTCGTTTTCAGAGCTCATAAACGCATTCAAGGTGAAGATGTATTTGGGCAAAAGATTAGTGTACTCGCACCGTCCGTGAGAAGTTACACTGGTAAGCATGCCAGTTTCACTTTTTATCTAGTCTAGTTCCAATTTGCCATTACACAAGGGGTTTTATATGGAAAATGTAAAATCCGATTGCAGGAAAACATAAATGTCTTTTTGTTGAAAATTATTCAAAGACGTGACTGTGTCAGCGGTACTGTTGAAGCTGAATACAAAAAATGTCCTGCAAATCATGTATAAAAGCATCTAAGATTTCATTAAGCTATTTCTTATACACTCGAGTTTAATTCGGGCTTGTTTTTTATTGACTGTGAACTGAACTATGATGAAAATATGTCCTCTATTCTCAATTTAAGGGCAAAGAGAAAAAAAGTCGGACCTATTCCCTCAGGCGCAACAAGGAAGTAGTACTAGCACCCGTTTCAACTTAGAAAAAAATGAAGTTTTTCCACAAATTAATAGCGCTGTGCCGCCGCCACCTGGTCTCGAAAATCGATCGACAAATGCATATCCGTATTCGAATCCGCCAAAGAAACGGCAGGTGAGTTTCGCATCTTTTGTTTCAACTGAATGGTTTAAATGCTGGCAATTTTCAGGATTTTACACCAATCAATAAGCGCAAACCGCCAATTTCTATGGATCGACTAGGGCATCCGAACTTTAGGCCCATATTGAGATCAGGTTCTTCTTTTTCTGGCTCGTGCGTATCGCCGATGGAGTTGAGTTACGACCAAACGCAAATCAGACGGTCTATGTCTAGCAAACATAATTCTCCACAGGATCAACAGGGTGCTTGTGCCCTTTCTCCTTATTATCGCTCACAGGCTAGTGGCAGCTCAGAGTTTAGCGATAGCGATGGAAAAGTATGCTACTTTAATCCGTTCTACTGGCTTAATATATCAGGTCATTTTTCTATTCATTAGGGCTATATATCTAGCGAAATCAGCAGAAATACTCAGGGTACCCAACCAGTAGATTTAACTATAACTAACTTAGATGCTACCATAGATGTTAAGGAACTTAAAAGACTGCTCACTAATATGATTATGAAATACGTCATGGTAAGAGCCAGATTCGTCGTAAAAGCACCATGTGAATGATTTTCTTACAGGTATTACACCTGAACATTGTAATGCAAAGCGATGGCACACCAGTAGCACATCTACGAGTTAGAAGCCAGCAGGAAGCGCAGTTCATAATTTCGCAATTGCATAGGCAAAAGCTGGGCCACAAGCGCATTATTATCGCTTACGAACAGGACGATTCTCCTGATCCTGAACAACTGAAAGTCATGGTTATCAGTGTTTTGCAAGTAAGTGTGAAACCCAGTTCATCTGTCGATTAGCCGATTATTGCATGTTTAATTGTTGTCAGGATGCTCCCAATAAGAGCATGCATCTCTTCAAATTCATGGAGCTGCTCGAATCTAGGTATCACTGTACAGTGTCTATTTCGGAAGTGAACAAGCTAAAAAACGTAGTTTGTATAAGTGATGAAAGGGGATCGAGAGTCATATCACTTACTGAGGAAGCTATCAAAGTTGATCCTTCCTACAACTTGTCGCAGGTAAATAAATCGTCTTTTATAATTCAATGGAAAAATAGCAAATTGCCTTCAACAATTGGGAAATATCTATTTCATAGTCTTCTTTGCGATAAGCCATTCTGCTTCGAAAAAACTTGCGATTACCAATTTCTGGCCTGCTAAAAACGCATTTTTTTTATTTCCAGCCAATGATTCCTCAGTGTGTGATCCATTGCCCTAAGAGTATGCAAACATTTGGTTGGTGTGAACTGAATTTTTCCATCGTTCCGAACGTTTTGATTTCCTTATCACTTTTCACCGCAAAACTGATGACTTTGTTAAATATTCACTTCGGGTCGATGCCTTTGATCAGGTAAACTGAATTAAAAAAATATATGGCGATTCAATGAAACTAAACTGTGGGTTTCAGTTTTGAAACATGTTACGATCAAGTGTTTGAGGACCCTTTGCCGGTTGCGGACAGTGGAGTTCCTTTGGAGCATCTGATTACGTGTGTTCCGGGTGTTGAAATAAAACTAGTCGGTCCGAACAAGAGCATTAAGGTGATTCAGCATGAGGTGAAAGAAAATGAAGAACATACTGAAGGTAACTAAATTTGCTGTATTTCGTTTCACCTTTTTATAAACACATTTATCATTAATGTCTGAATCTGTTTTGTTTATAGAAAACGTTTTAAAAGCAGTAGCGCCATCGTTGGCTTCAAATGTGAGCCTGTTATGCCGCGAGGTTGTAGATTTGCTGAAAAACCTCGACAAATGCCAGATTTTACTCACCAAATTCATTCCTGCTTATCATCATCATTTCGGGAGACAATGTCGAGTTGCGGATTACGGATACACCAAACTCTTAGATCTGTTTGAAGCGATCTCTCATGTTGTCCAAGTAAGTAAATGGATAGAGGCGACTTAAAACACTTTTGAGCATATACAAGCTATTTGATAATTGAAGGAGGATTTCAGAGTAACGTAGCACTTACTTTCTATTTTAGATTATGGGTGATGGCTCTAGACGAGTTATAACCCTGACCCATTCTAGTCAAATGCGTCGCTTCATATCAGATCTTCTGCGCGTTCTCAAAGTTCAACCCAATAAACAGATCGCGTTTACCGAATTCGCTGCTGCCTACGAGAGAACGCTGAACAAACCCTTCAATCCTGTCGAGTATGGATTATGTACTTTGGACGATTTGCTCTGCGAGGTTCCGGAAAACACTATCGTCATCACAAAGGAGAACGAGAACATTTACATTTCCGTACCGAAAAGGGAGCAAACCGCGGTGGAAATAGCGAAAACTAAAGAATTCGCTAATGAAGTAAGTGGTTTGATGAAAACAATCAGTTTTGAGATATCAATAATACAAACTGTGCCACTATATTAAGCTGTAATTGGTTTGCAAATTTGCAGGTGATAAATCTATTAAGGCACACTCCATATTCAACAATGTTTTTTAATAAATTCGTACCGTCCTACCACCACCATTTTGGCCATCAATGCAAAGTATCTGATTATGGCTTCACTAAATTGATCGAGCTTTTCGAAGCTATTCCCGATGTGGTAGAGGTAATCACTTGTACGAACATGTTTGTGCTGTTGAATGTGAATACTGAAGCGCAACCACTGATATAGCAAATGAAGTTCAACGAGTTGTTCATGCCCTGTATTTTTCATCTAGATAAAAGAGCTACCGGACGGAGAAAGAACCATCAGTCTCACCCTGCAGCAGTCCCTGAAGATTCTCAGCGCACAAGTGCTGCGGATGATTCGAAACACTTGTGGCGGCGGCTTGAAGTTGGATGAATTGCCCATGCTTTACTTCAAACAGTACGGCTACCCGCTCAACCCTCAAATCTACCAATGCGAGTCGTTGGAAGAACTCGTCAGTAATCTTTCAGAATACGTGCAGGTAGGTTTCTCTATTAAAATCTGGGTAATTTATAGATTTTCAATCTTCCTCCAGGTGATCCATAGTAATGCTGGTTCATTACTACGCCCTGTTGAAATGGATACCTCGCAAAGTGTTCTAAGAGTGCGCTGTTGGGCAATGTTACTAGTCCCGCCTCACGTAAAGAATTTAGTTTCATTCAGGAACGAGTATCGGCAATGCTATGGCAACAATTTTACCACTGAGGATCTTAGGAAAATCGCCAATGTTGTTTCGGTAAATGCCTCAAATGATACAGTTTTCAATACAATAAAAAAATGGATTTCAGCTCTCGTCAATGCACAACATTGACTACATATCATTGACCTCGCTATACGTACTGGCCGCTCAAATCTACTGCGTTATTTGCAATCACGGCGGATCAGTGGAGTACAACAAACTGGAGCAGTTATATGAGGAATCCTACGGAAAACCCATGAAGTTGTCTAGCTTTAACATCAACTCAGTAAATGAATTCTACAATCGGTTCAATCTATTGTTTTATGTTCGAGGCAGCAAAAAGAACAGCATTGTGGTACCGAATCGAAATTTAGAAGGTACTACTTAACTTGCCTGTCAAGGCGTTGAGATCTAAGGCATTTTTCTTTTCAGAATACATAGCATTTAAGTATCACAACAACAATTCGGAAGCTGAACAGCAACTGAACATTAACAATCAATGGAGCGACATATTAAGTGGGTCGTCAGACCAGGAACAAGGTGCTGTAAAGAAATACACTCCTCCTAAGCCTGATACACCACCATCGCCTGTAAGTATTTACTCAGTTTTGTATTTTATTCCTTTACGCAAAAGTTGTTTTCGGGAAACTTGTTTTACAAACCATTGTAGAAATTACTGCGCTTGCAAGGTGGCGTCTTCTGATTATTAATTTATTTGTACTCTAGTCCTAATAGCGTATTGTGGAAATTTGTTGCTCTTGTGTTTGGTGTTCATCTTTACCAATGAGAACTCAAACACAACATGAAGTAGCATACAAAATGTTCAAGAAATGTAACATGTTACTTTTGAAATTTTTCATTAAAAAAGCGCAATAATGATGATGATGATGGTAGAAATAGTTATGATAAATAATGAATTAGTTTAGTAAGAAGAAATAATTCTTAGCGTTGGCAAACTAAAAATCTCTTAAGTCTTAAGTAAATACTGAAAGGGAAAAAAACTGATTATAAAATCGAATGGTTTAAATAAAATATACCCTTTGCATCCGAAAAAGCTCATTTTCATTTAAAAATGACAACATTTAAGAATAATTTTTAGCGTATGCTTTTTACTAAGTCTAGTACTTGGCTCGTTTATGATGGCACCCGCTTTGGAAAATAATCTCTCGCATGGAACAGAAGTACTAATAAACCTGTGTTTTTTTTTATGAAACAAGTTTGTCAAAATCTTGAAAAAGTTAATAATCTTCTTCTTGTCTATCTTTTAACTGAACTTCCTCTGATTGATGGGGCACCACAGTTTTTGTAATAGCATTTGAATTATATACGCATTTTTTAAGTCAACAATAACATTAAATAATCCACATTAACAGTAATACTTATAGACTAAAAATGCGGAATTATATTATTTGAGTGATTGAATATTTTCATTGCAGGGATCAACGTTGTGGTGGAACAGCCCGTCCAAACTTAGTCAGGAGCAGATGGTAAGTCACTTGTGGATATAATTAATCTGATGGTTTCGGGATAAAAAATTGTTAGTATCTTAAAAATTACCAAACGATCAAATATCCACTTTCTAACTATTTCATGCGAACGATTCTGTATTGGCTGCAACAGAGACTTAATTCAACAATTAGTCTAGTTGGGTTTAGAGTGTTTGTTGAAAATTTGTTTTCTTGTTGAACTAATATTCGTGTTGTAGGAAAACCTACATATATTTTATGAAATGTTTCAGAATTTCTTCATTGACATGCCACTAACTATGGACCGTACTCTACATGAAATGTCGAAATCTCTAATTTCTCCGGCTCGTTATTTACTTTTTAGCGATACCCCTTGGAATTTGGCACAACCACCTACTTTGGCTCCCGATCCGCATGAACTGCCCATTCCCAACAAGCTCTTACCCAAAGGTAAAAAAACTGTGATATGAAAACATTGTAAAATTATTTCTTAGAACATTATAATTTTCATCAGGCTTTAGATCGTCGTGGAAAAGAATTTCTTCCCACTCGGGAGCAAACCATTTCTGAAGATGTACGGCACTCGTGCTTGTCAAACACCAGAAAGGCATTCTTTTCCACGACGACTTAAAATATGGAAAACCTCAACAGTTGCAAAAAGTGAATAAGAGGGAGATGAATGGTTTTATTTCAAACTTTTTCAGCTGGAATGTCAGATGATAGTGGCGATTCCGGAGTAAATATTCTAGCAGATCATTCTCATTCGGACAGTGATTTGGAACCATCCACAAGTAAAGGTATGTGATGAAAAAACGGCAAAGTTTAGTTTAAAACGGAATTAATCCCGGTTGTTTTGCAGGCGCTATCAAGAAAAAGCATTATAACGGAACATTCCTTAACTTCAAGTAATACAACCCGGGCATAAATGATTTGAATGTTGAACTGTATATTTATTTTTAAATGTTTATATATGTGAATATACTGTAACAGAAAAAACGCCGCACAAGAAAATGTAGATTTGATTGCAAACGACTGGTGTCAGAATATTGTGCATATTATTATGTAAGTAAGTGAAAGAAAACCGATTTTCTGTTCTATGTATTTGTAGTCTTAAAATGTATTTTTAAAGCATTTTTCTGCTGTGGCACTTTTGAAGTACTCACTAAATTGATGTGAAAATTCCAAGAATCTTTATTAATGGAACATTCCTGCTCCCTTTTTATCGTCATTTAGGTAAGTTAGTACTACCCCAGAAAATATTACGTTGTTGGGCTAAGTTTTGTGTAAAAAATATTGTTCTAAAACAGTTACTAGTGGTAGGATAGTTTGATATCAACTTTCGAGATATTTGTGTAGTTTGTTAGTATATTGTATTTAGTAATTTTTCTCTTTCAAACATTTCTTAGATCTAATTTGCTTTTACATTTTTTATAACTTGTTTATGCGATATTTTTATTGATGACATATTTTTGGATATATATAAATTTTAGGCATAATTTTATCTGTACTTAAATAAGGTTATTTTAGAAGAAAGTTTGCCGAATTAAAATATGTGAATTTTTGTTGAATAAAGATAATACATGTTTGTTCTTTTCGATAAGACTTTCCATTTCAACGGGTTGAAACAAGGTTCAACATCTTCCGTCGATATTTGTATATGATACATATATTCAATATTCCTTGCTATTTTTAAAACGTTTATTTTAATGGGACACACTACACCATTTTCCACCAATGACTGTAGACACCGCTTTTAATTCAACAACCCAAAGGCGGTTAATAAATCTAACTTCATTCTAGGGGAGTTAATTTTCCTATTACTCCTGGGGAAATTTACGGGTTTTACCGCACCCCACAGGTCCGTACCTGCGCTCCCAAATCATTCGGTGCTTCTGCTTCGATAGGGCGGTTTGGGCATCGTGATACAATCCCATATCACCATCTGGGGCGGAAACATGCAAATTACACATCAAGCTTTTTTTGCTATTGGAAAACTTACATTTCGTAAACCAGTTGGTGATGGATTCTTGGTAAACTCTATTAATATCGGCACATTTCGTCACATGATCAGGGCTTTCATACATAACGCAATCTTCAAATCTTGAACGTAGAATGGTGAGTATTTCGGTATCTACTTTTCTACAACAAAACAACTTATACTGTTGGGATTTATTTGCTTCAAAAGGCAGGCTTTTGAATAAAATAATAAAAAAGGACACGGACAAACTTGTAAAAGCGCACTTTGCAATGGTAAGTGGTATAACTCGTTGGTCGCCTAAATTTTCCGATTTTATCTCATTAGGCTGCGTCTTTTGGGGTGCATTTGGTAGACGGTAGCAAGTTAATCATACTCTCAAAATAAAAAATAAAAACGATACGGGATTCGATAACTATGAGCGGAAAACTATCTAGTGTCGAGGGATTTTTTTTGAGGGTCGACTTTCGCTTTTTGTAACATTTGTAACTGCAACATCCCCATYCGATCGCTAATGTGCCAATTTCAGTGACCTAGTGACTAGGCCGTGCACGTACTAAGTGTGCAGAATAAATACTTCTCAGGGGCTTTACAGGTAAASGAAGAGCGCGGTAGAAGGWTCGACYAACMAATTTACTGTACAAATGTGCAGTTAAAGAAACGGGTAAGAGACGATGAAAATTTGGGGGTGCACATCAACCGCCAGTCATTCAAAGAGCAACACGAGAAATAATCTGTGCTTTAAATGAGGCTTAAAGTGTCCCTACCTATCGCGTCTATATTGCTGGTTAGCCTCATAAATGCACACAGCATCATCAGTATAACACTGATCTATTGTCGGAACCCTTCGGAATTTCTGATGATACCAGGGATACTGTTGCTGGTTCGGTTCGACAACCTTTTCTGCAAAATGCAGGAATTATATGCTTACATTACATAATTGATAAGGTTATATGAAAAGCTACCTCGAAACCATGTAGTGGGACCATCAATCGCTCGGAAAAGGGCCTGAAGAACGACGACAAACGCATTCCTGGGCTCCGATTCCGACATTATCGCTTAAAGGCAACTTAAAAATTGAGAATATTAAATAAAATTTTTTTTGAGAGATGTCAGATGAAGGATTAGTGGGGTTAAGGCAACCGATTAGTTAAGTGGCACTCTTCATTCCAATCAAACTCGAGGGACACAGCCAACTTCAACTGAATTCATTTTCGGTTTTTTTGGCAGCTCGCTTTAAACTTCACACTTTTCCGAGATTTTCGAACATATGAAATGTCAACAAAACTATTTAGATAATTTGCGAGTATAAAACACTGTTGTTGTTTTAGTACGTTAATGGGCGACTAATTTGTCCATATTAATTGTTTCGTTATGGTAAGCACCCCCCAGTAAAACACTGCTGCACAAGATAGATTTTAACCTAAAAAAAATCGCCCACCCTTGGGGCCCTTACACAAAAAAATCGGCTCAAAAACGTTCGCAATTTGTTGCAGGAACTCGAAAATTCGTTGGCCGTCGTGGAGACTTTATTTGAGGAATTTTTCAATCCGTACACCAGCAATTGCAGAAAACATGAAATTGAAGTGCAGCTGTCTGAGATCAAGGAAGTACCACACAAGGGAAATCTGTGCCTGCATTTTATTAAGCACAGTTCTAGTCAACATGTGATTATGTTTACTTTACAAATTTTGGAGGTAATTTTTCCAATTATTTCYGGAAAAGGACACGGTCTTTCTTTCACGCTTTGATTTCAAGTGTACAGGGTGTCCSGTAAGCTCATAATCAAAARGGTACTGCGATATTCTTTGGACCAAAACAMGACGATCTGACCTAACTTTTATTAACAAAAAATGTCTGGCTCCTCTGCTATTGATGRTCAGTTCTTCAARAAAATTATCCTTTTCGAAATAGCGGRAGAATGGTACGATGTATTTTAGTRAAACTCGCTGTGAATTTGTTCTTATGTAAGACTCATATTTTGATAAAACAATCGAATTCAGCCGTTTTGGACAAGTGGTGAATTCTTGAGTGTCGTGGTACAAAAACTTCCAGAACTTGTTAATTGGAGGATGAAATCAACCCATTTTTTTTAGGTTGATGCACTAATCATTGGTTCACAATTTTGTGCTCTCTGTGAAATCTTGTAGCATTCATAGTTTTTGCGAAAAAAAAGATTTCTTTTTCCTTGCCACTTAACAATGTTAGACATTTACTGCAAATATGCGCCATGTCGGTCACTTCTTTATTAGAAAAGCTCATTCAAAACGAATTTGTGAGATTGATTGACAATGATTTTATGCTTCGTATCATGGAAATATTTTTTTTCGCAAAAACTATGAATGCTACAAGATTTTACAGGGGCCAAAATTATGAATAAATAATTAGTGTATCAACCTAAGAAAAATGAGTTGATTTCATCATCCAACTAAAAAGTTCTGGTAGTTTTTGTACCACGACACTCAAGAATTCACCACTTGTCCAAAACGGCTGAACTCGATTGTTTCATCAAAATATGAGTCTTACATAAGAACAAATTCACAGCGAGTTTCACTAAAATACATCGTAYCATTCTCCCGATATTTCGAAAAAGATMATTTTTTTGAAGAAYTTTGACCATCAATAGCAGAGGATCCAGACATTTTTTGTTAATAAAAGTTARRYCTGATCGTCTTCTTTTGGTCCAARGAATATCGCAGTACCCTTWTGATGTCTCATGATGTCTTATGAAGTCTCATGAGCTTACGGGACACCCTGYATAAGTATCTAGTGGAGGACTATTTATTTTTCTTTGCGGTTGTTATTTTCAATTGGAGTCGCCGATTTATTCGAAATACTTAGCATGTGAATTCTACAGGGTGTCCCATAAGCACATGATCAAAAGGGAACTGCCATATTTTTTGCATCAAAAGAAGACGATCTGACCTGAGGTTTTCCAAGAATTTTTAGAAAAATATATCTTTTGTTCATATGTAACTCATGTTTTAATGAAACAACCGAGTTCATCTGTTTTGAGCAAGTGAGGGATTCCTGAGTGTCTTGGTACAAAAACGATTAGAACTTTTTATTTCTTGTAAAAAAAGAATAATATACCCAATTTGTACTACAACTGACTAACCGCATATTTCTTCCAGTTTATGGTTAATCAAGGACAATGGCCTGCGATGGAGACAGAGATCCAAGACGAACTAAAAACTATCCTGCCGCTAACTCTAATAAGTAAAAGTGACATTCCCAATTTTTTAAAAAGCAAGTACGCTAAGATTATTGTAAATATTGCCAAAGTTGACAAACCAGGAGAAAATTCGAATTTCTTCTATACCGTAACCAACGTAATTATTACCGTGAGTATACGACCAAATTATTTCTTCGAAAATTAAATAAAATCACTTATTTTTAAGAAAAGATAATTATTCGGAATAAGTATTTTTTTAGTTGCGGCATTTGAACTTTTTCGTAGTTTGAGTTAATATCTAATTTAAAAATTGTCTCACCGTATTAAATTTAAAAAATTTTAAATAGAACCTTATCGCCTCAAGAAATCCCAAAAGTTAAAGAATAATTCAAAATGGAGTTGAGCAGCTTTATAGATATTTTTTTTAGTTACTGAGATCGTCAGAACAGCTCATAGGGTTGATACTGTTCAGAGGAATGTGCGAGGAATTTCTGGGTTTAAATGTGAAACTTCAAACTCTAAGTTGCAAAAAGGAAGTGAAAAAGTTTCAGGAAGACTACATTCCTCGTGTCCTTTACTTATTGACGGATATTTTAGAGAATATCAGTGAGTGAACTTGTGATTTCAGATGAATCATGAAGAAGGGGGCTTTTATTTTACTACACATTCCTCCAATCAGTAAACGTAAATTAACAATACTTTCACCAGTGGAATGCGTGATTGAAATAATGCCCCATTCTCTTTAAACACCTTGTATATGTCCCGATTGTTTAGGTTCAAAATCGAAGCACACTGCCACTGCAACGCCTCCTCCGTCACCTACTCAAAATAATTCTGTTGAAGGGCAAGCGCCCAATCACAACTATTCAGCCGATTATCCGCCAGATGTTAGAGCCATCATTCAAGAATCCCTAGCTATACTATCGTTGCTTTTTACTTCGATTCCTGTCGAGCAAGTGCCTCTGCTAACGATTAGGGCTGTATTTAATTTTACCAAATGTTCGTCTTACTCGCAGGTAATTTTCAAGATTTTCCGTTTTTTGCAAGTTGGGGAATGTTTTCGCACTTTTTAGGATGACGACGATCTTTGTCTCAGTGCCATATCGACAGTTAACGAGCTGTTTTATCGGAAAAGTTGCCCACATGGGGCGGAACCGTTGTTCAAAGCAATTTACATTCTGGCAGTGGAACTTCTCCGGAATATGACTACTTCTGTTACTTACCGAACGGAAAACACTGACGAATTGTGAGCGTTTTAAACTCTCAATTAGTTCAATATGTAAAGGTTTTTGTTGTAGGTTTGTTGACAAAATTTCCGAACTGCTTGTCCTATTGATTGAACAGCATTTTTGCCGATTCGAGGCAGATCCGACGTTCACTGCTCTGGAGTTTTTGTCGCTATTTTTCCAGTATACTATGAGTCTAACAAATAGTGTGCATTTTTTGCGCTGCTTGAGCGTCTGGTCCACGTTTTTTAAACGAGTGAAACCCTATGCTTCAGTAAAGTGAGTAAAATCCCTCTCTTTTAATGCTGATAAAATATTTTCCAACTTATTTCCAGGTACCATCAAGTGTGTGTAGGCTTAGGTAGTGCCTTAATCAATAAAATTCAATTTAGTTCAAACCATGCCCAGCTTGTAGACCTTCTCACAATCAATATTGACGTTGTAAGTTTTTTGCAATGCTCACTGGAAACGGCATTTATACTTTTTTTCCAGAATAACACAGAGTGGCAATTCTTTTTAAACTCATCAGCAGAAATTATATCGCAAGCTGCTCAATTAGCGCCGCTGGAAACTCTTCATCAACTAGTAAGTTAATGTGATATACTCACTAATTGTCTTATCACTAATTTTCACCCACAATTTTTCAGATAAACTCGTGGAATTTGTGTAATTCCCAATATCAGGAATTGGAAAAATACTCCGAAACATGGTTCAACAATTCAAGTAACATTGAGACTGAAAAACTAACTTATATTCTTAGGGATTTTTCTACATTATCATTCATGTTAGCCAATTTAGCAGACCATTTTTGTGCGTGTGGTAAGCGGATAAATCAAGTCTATGTGTATGTAAGTCTGTCTGTGTTTCGCGCTCTAGAAAACCCTCAAATCAATGGAATTGCCACACCGATAATCTGTCTTTTCATGGAAAATACCATCAAAAGTGCCTCTAGCTACAAGAATATCAAATCCTACCTCCTTAGATTTAACGATGCAAAGTTGATGCAAAGTTTCATTGACTCGTAAGTGGTGGAGAACTGGACTAGTGAGCATTGGTTAAAAAGATTTATCTTCTAGGCAAAGTGAATTGCTATCTGTTTTGAAGGCTTGGTTGGGTTGGATGGAGGCTCGCAGTCAACTGAACTCAAACGTGGACATTTTTCTCAACCTTCTTTTGCCTGTGTTGCATGAAGGCGACAAAGTGCCGGTTCAAGTATACTCAGCAGCTTCCCAGCTGTTTCTAGAACTGTCCCGCAGACCAAACTATCTCTGCCCGTCGAGCAACCGGGCAGTAGCAGACTTTATAACAAAGGCAAGTGACTGTTATCGCGCAAAACTCCCAGCTGAACCTAGATTTTATTGGCAGGTCCCAAAGCTTAAACTCAATTCACCAGAGATAGTGAACTGTATTTATTCCGCAATATGCGAAATTCTACTAAAGCCGCTGAAAAGCTTAAATCAGCACACATTGCCAGTTTACAAGCGTTTGATAGATGGGTTTCTCAAGGAACTAAGTGCGGATTTCAGGAGTTTAACTCCCAAGACTGCCGAAGTAAAAGTGATAGAAACAGTGCATGTATTGCCAGCTTTGGCTCATTTAATAGAGTATTGCAGATGTTACCCTTTGGTATCTAAAAAAGAGCTAGCAAGCGGCATTGAGGTAAGTATAAAGATCACACGCATACTGTTTATACAAGATTGCTAAATGCTTGTATTAGATCAGCTTGATTAAGTAAATTCCTATGGAATTCCGCGTGTTATCCGTCTAATACCAGCGATGATGTTTTATGATCATGGACATAACATGTAATTTGATTGATTTTAGCCCATACTAACACACTCCATGGTACTATTCCCTACCTACGTGAAATATTCACAAGTCCACGATGCATTTCCTCAGTTTTTCAATTCGATTTTGAGGAATTTGCAGTCTCAAATAGGCCCGGATTTTACGAAAAACGCCATGAATATTTTTTTCCAAGTCGCAGTCTGGTAAGTTAAATTAACAAAATTTTCTAGTGAACAAATCAAACATGCGGTAGGTCGTCTGTTTCATTCAGGGTGAGTGAAAATTAACCATATGAAGTTTTCGGCATCAGTTCATGTAACCCGTTATAGGAAATCAAAGAGTTTTATTCTGAAGGGCGGCAGTAAATGAGAAAACATTTTAGGGAACAGCAATCCAACAATCTGGAAGGCGTAAAGCAATTACTGGACATTTTCATAGTGGTAGTTCAAGAGTCCACCAACAAGAATTTCTTTTCGGATATCCTGCAAATATGCATGGAGACTATTTATCCGCTGTTGTCATCGCAAGCCATGGAAAAGCCTGATGTATTTTTGTCATTTCTGGAATTACTTTACAGGTAGGATTTCGCCTACAATGGGCCTCCAAAAAAAATCGCTTTTTTAATGTGTTTCAGTATACTGAAGTTCCATTGGTTGTACTTTTACAACTCGCAAGTGTTAATGGGTTTTTCGCCGGGATGTAATGAAGACGAAGTGGGGCCAGATGTTCCGAAGAGGCCGGAACAATTGTTGGCAATTTTGAAGGTTTTTGGCGAAGCTCTGATGATGGATGATATCAATATTTTCAGACAAAGTTTGGCCAGTTTACAAGAATTAAACCGTTCGAAAAAGCTGTACCATAAGGTAAACAGTTCGCAGCAGTCGCCAGTAGTTGAGTCTAATTCCCAAAGTTATCTGCAGGGTTTATTTCAATCTAATTTGCTTCCTGAGCTGCTTCGAGTTCTCCTACAGACCTTCGTCTACAAGAAACAGGCTTTAGCCAAGGAGGATATTATGTTGGCTGTGTACGATATGTCGGAAGTGGATTTCGATGGGTTTATCTACAAGTTTCTGCCTCTTTTTCTGGAGAGCGCCGATGGGCTTAAGGGAAAGTTTCGCGATATTTTGCTGTGCCATTTTCAGAACAATAAAGAACGGGTAAGTGTCCTTTTTTTGCTAGTAAACATTATAAATACACTATGTATTATGTTTTCAGGATATCCCTTCTTTCATGCAGAATTTGCAAAATTTTGCAGCAGACTATGAGCAAGTAGTAATTTATTCTAGAAGCCACAGTTCATAAAAACACATTTTTCAATTGCTTCTGCGTTTTGATTTAAATCTCTTTTCGATTCAACCGCCACCTATGTTAACTGTTGAAAAATATAACTAATCATAGATTTTTATAATATTACCGGTTAAAAAATCGATATAGTTAATCATATTTTTTTTAAATATTAGCTAATGTATAAGCTTTTTTACAAATAATACGTCATACATTTTTGCTATCTGTGATTCAACATTCCTGGGCCACAAAAACATGGCAACAGGTGGAATGCAATGAAAAATTCAGGAGTTAAAAAAGTTTGGCGCTGGTTTATTAATTTTCTGCTCCAGTACTAGTAAAGTAAAAAGTAATTTACGAATACATGATCTCAAAGTTAAAAATAAAACAGTTTTTTCAATTTTGTTGCGGATCATCTATCCTTTTTATAATGTAGACTTGGACTCTTAATACGCATCAAACGCACCAAGGTTTGTTCAAATCCAAGGGGCATAAACATTTCTGCTTTTTTGTGTTGTAAATTGCTGCTAGTGGATTTCCCCTCAGGCTTGCAGTTTGCATTTCCATTCGTTAATTTTTTTGGATGTGCAAAAGAATGGATTTTTTCGTTTCTTTTACTTATTTGTTTGTGCTTGGTGTCTCTTGGTATTGAATATTATCTAATTTATTGTTTGGTCAGCTCTGACTGGCTAATCCCTATATTAAGATAATGCAAACAGTTTTATGTTCGTTATTAATTCATGTTCTTCTCATTCAAGATATTATTGACTTTTAGTTCTTCGCTAATTTTTGAAATTCGTTGTCTTTTTTTTAACTCTTCTACATTGAGCTCGTACTTTCTTACGATAATTTTTGCCACTGAAAGAAACAAATGTGATCCCTGAGAGTGTATTTCCCGACATGTCGAGGATTAAAGCATAAACATTTAGTTTTAGGTTCTATTAATTACAAAAATTTGGTAGTACCGTTAGTATTTATATTTAAGACTTGTGATCGCTCAATTTTGTGTAATATTTATAATGTCCTTTTTATATGAAAATAAACTAAAATGCTACCTGAAGGCGATTTTATTAAATTTACCATAACCGGTTGTAAATTTTAATGTACAGGGCGTTCCTTAATTAACCTTAATAAAAAAGCTGCTTCGTTTTGCAACATACAGGTCACGCATCAGAGTAAGAGCTTCAGCAGTCGATAAAAGAAGCTTCATTTAAGACTGGGTGCGTATTTGGTTCTTTTCGACCAATAGTTTATTTTTTTAAATTATTTGACGCATTGTGTAAGATTAGTGCGGTAGGGCTGTATTTGCACTGTCTCCCACTATTGCTGGTTTCCGGACATCCAGATTGAATATCGGGATCAGGGCTTCAGCAGTCGACAATTAAACAGTCCGTTGAAAAAGCAGAATTTGGGGTGTTTATAAAAAATTTTAAATAATTTTATCGACGGTTTACTGGCACACCCTGCATATCAGGATTATTCTACTAATACCACTCTTAGGGTTGAGTTTTCATTTTAATATAAATTGATTTTTTGCTGTAAAATGTTATAATTGTTATTAATTTCGCCTCCCTGTGGATATAACTATATAAATATATAAAAACATTCTTATTTTAGCTGAGTGTTTACTAATATAGAAAAATGAGGACAAAAGGTAATATAACTAAATAAAAAAATAAAATTATACAAATGTAAACAATCCAGCTCCTTTGATAACCAATAAAATTTGACAACCCACCACTGACAAAAATCACCCAGAATCTTAAGTGGCTATTGCTCGATGCCCAGGAACTAAACGGTGAAGTGGAACGGGTGGAAACAATGTTCCATTAAAAGCAATAAGAGTTTGTTTTGTTCGTAAAGTTGCTAATAAATAAAGGTTTCATCTGGATACTTCAGAATGCACAAAGTGAGTGTTTCGGTAAATTTAATTCGGCTGTAAGCCTGACTGACGGATGGTTCACTCGAGGTGAACATCGAGCCACCACCGTCACCAACTGATGTTTCTGTTATGTTTTTTGATTTTGTAGGTTCTACAAATCATCAAAAAATTTGCCACGATGGCTAAGGAAAATTAGGGATTAACACGGTGTTTTCGACTTGGGCAATATTACAATGGCATCGTCTCCACAACCCCTAAGCAAAGTCAAATCGCCCGAAGAGAATCAGAGCAATGGCACTGAAGAAAGTCCAGGTTTGCAAGAGCCGCCGACATCAGGCAAAAACGTAAACTTTCAAGAGCTTCCTCTGCTCCAAGGTGTGATTTATCCGATCTCGTTTCAGCCCCAAATAGGCGAGATAGCAATTGAAGCCTCGGAGATCGTCAGTCGTTTAGGACAGGCGGTTGATACACCCAAAACACCGACTGAGAATGTTCGCAGAGCGGCAACAGTTTTCCTGGGGTTGCAGAAAAAGCACAGCAATGAAATCATTCATTCGATTCATGAACTTATCAGTACAGATGAAGACGGTGATCCAACTACCGCTCTGCCCCTTAAAACCGTCGCCAAATTAGTGATGGTTTCACACAGTTTGTCCGCTTACTGTGGCAGTTTGGAGCACAGTCTTTTGCAGAAGTTAAGTTTAAGGTTCACAACGGATACAACCAGATGGATTAGCCACATCTTTGGGTAAGTGTGGGTTGTTTTGCTGAATTGCTACTTGAAATTGTAACAATTACGTGATGGGAATAATCGAGATATTGGTAATAGTGTTGAAGTAGGAAGTTTCATAAGCATGGCACTAATTGGGATTTTTTGCGCTTTATTGCCCTTTCCTGAACATACAGGTGAGACATCGGGATGGGAACTTTTTAGCCTTGGATAAAAGAAACTTCGCTAAAGACTTGGTGCGAATTTGGTTCCTTTCGGCCAAATAATTAATTTTTGACTAATTTATCAATTTTTTGCATGGCCATTCTTCTTCTACTGACTCCCGTTATTTCTCGTTCTTTGAGATCCACGGTGTGCAGGCCTTAAATCTGAACTACTCCAGAAACTTCTATAAAATCTACTCTTTTGTATGATATTTGCAATTCTTTCTTTAATTTACTTTTAATTAAAATTGGAAACTTTCGACCTGCTGATCCTAAATTTAGGACAAGTTTTTGTGCAACTTTCAAATGTCCCGTGAAGGTTTTTTCTGGCTTGAATCCGTAAATGCCCCTGACAATATGTATTCCAGACATTGGTTAGAATTTGTCTAGAATTCATATTCTTAGGTGCAAGTGCGGCTTAAACATCATGCAAAACAGTGCAGCGTATTTGATGCCGAATCCGAAACAGCGCAACGTGGAATTCCAGGCCATTCCTTGAAGCTGGCGACTCAGCAGTTTCATAAAGTTATTGTGTTTTGGTTGCAGATTATTGGACTCTTCGGCGTTTTACCACGACGATAATCTCGAAGGACTGGTAAGAATAGCTAGAATGGTTCTACACTACAAATTCCCCAGATACTTGGAAGACGGCACTTTAACGTTCGCCTCTAGTTTGCCTTTAATCTACAGCAGCATTTCGAGCCCTTTGGGAATTGTGCAGTATCTTTGTAGGCAATTAGGTTTGCCATTAGCGTGCGTCCGGCCTGTTCCAGTAAACACGCATTTCGGTCAGTCCCATCTGCAAATAGTGCGATTGCTGATGTAACCGGGAATTGAATTTTTAGGCTCGCACTACACCATGGACGTTGCAGCTTTGCAGAAAATGTTAACCGACGACGGTGTAACGGGGAAAGTCCCTTTGTTAGTTATAGCAGATGCAGGCACGCCAGTTACCGGCCATGTGGATAACATTGCACGAATCAAGGAACTGTGCAAAGCGCACAACTGTTGGCTTCATGTTAGAGGACACACATTATCCGCACTCACTTTACCGAACCACACCAGAAATAATCACGTAAGATTGATCAAGTGGGGCAAATTTACGATTTGAAGATTTTCGTTTTAGGCCACTCCAGTCGCAGATAGTTTCACTCTAACTCTGGGAAACTGGCTAGGAGTACCGGGTTTGCCTAATGTTGTATCCTTTTTTGACCATTGACGTAATTGGAGGAATCAAAATATCGTGCAAATGCGACCGCGAATCGGCGAGGAGAACTATTTCAAAGCCAGCCTCTCATAATCAGATTAAAAATTCTTGCTAACTAAGAAAATCATTCATCCATAGTAAATTTAACAACTTTCCGCCAACATTTCCTTAATCGAAAACAACAGACTCTATATAGATTATGGGATCAGAGCAATATCAACGCCAGCAAACAGAAGCAAGTGGGAGTTTCCAGAGAAAGTACCCTGCCACTTCTGGCTGGCCTACACAACGATCATACAAGCCGGAGAATTATTACTCTGCCCCTTTGGACGGCTCTTCAGAGCCTTGGAAAGGATGGAGTTTTATCTGCAATAAGAGAAAATTTCCTTGCCAGCGAACGACTGTACTCGGCTTTGGATGTTTTCCGGCATGTCCGAGTTTTGGTAAGCAGTTTGGTTAAGAAGTCGCCAAGCACTTCATTGTGAATGAATGAATTTCCAGAGTCCTAAACCTGGAGGTGAGAGCGGCGCCTATACAATCACAGAACTGATTTCCAAACCTGCCAGCATATCTGTAAGTTTGTGTGTTTGTGTGTTTATCAGGTGAGTAATTGTTCCTAATGTTCTAGATGCTATTCGAGTCCACCGCATGCTGCGTCGTCTTCCAGTTTATTCCCGACTTGGCAGAAAACGAGGTTTTAATTAAAGTGCCTCCCTACTACGACAAGCTCAATTCCTGGCTGGGCCAAATATTGCAAATATCCGCTCCACAGGTATTTATGCAAATTTTGACTCAAATCGAAATAGTATCTAATTTAATAATTTGCGTTTAGATTCCGATAGAAATTTGCGAGTTAGAAGATGTCGGAACCGTTCTGCGGTTTTGCCCGTTTGAAAGCGCAATCAGTGATCAACCCACTTTGGAGCAGTTTAAATCCTTCGTACAGTGCCTCGAGCAGCAACTGGTCATCCTGAGGGCTACGATTCATCACAAAGAAACGTTCAAAACCATCGTTGAAGCTTCCCCCGTTCTCTCCTTTGTGGAACTGCCAGATTGGGCAGGTAACTGCTCCCAACTCCCACCAACTAGCGCAACTAGCGCTTAACAATAATTTGATGGTTTAGGATTGGGGGGAGTCCGATACTGCCCAGAAGGGTGGAAAGAGTTGCTGCCCGATCAATTGAAAGAGGAGCTTAACAACCTGAACATCGCGCTGGTCGATGCTTTAAAGTCGGTTGATTCTGCATTTTCGCTGGGCGAAGGCCAGGACGGTCTTATTTGCGTTCGATTCGGCATGTTGACTCCGCAATCTGATGTCGAAGATATGCTGACTTTGATCGTGCATGTAGGCCAGTCTGTTGAGGAAAATTCCCGTGTTTTGGATTCGATGAGCGAAATCGTTAAGAAAGGTAACGTGTTAGTTAGCGGCCCGATTTCCGCAGTTTCAACGGAGGTATTTGCAGGCATTGAAACTGCCACTAAAGACCTGCAGAAGGAAAACGAGGAGCGGCTGTGGCAGGAGGGGTTGATCAGGCATGTGCCCCTGGTCGGGAATTTTGTTAACTGGTGGTCCCCCAAAACGAAGGAAACAGGAGTTAGAGGTCGCAGTTTAAATTTGACGCAGGGCATTGTTGAATCCACAGAAAATATCTACAAGTATCACATGCAGATACAAACTGGTGCGTAATTACATCAATTAGTTCATATTATACTCTTTCCTTTCCTGGGTTTCAGTCAAAGTTTGAAATCAAAATTTGTATATCGTTTATTTCATAACGTTCCGGCGAGACAACAGCGCCATCATCAGATTTAAAATTCATACAAACTCATAATTGGGAAACATTAGATTCTTTTAGGTCTTTGCTGTCTTGAAACCTTAAATTTGTTTGAATTATTGTCTACCKARSSYTMGGTAGACAATAATTCAAACAAATTTAAGGTTTCAAGACAGCAAAGACCTAAAAGAATCTAATGTTTCCCAATTATGAGTTTGTATGAATTTTAAATCTGATGATGGCGCTGTTGTCTCGCCGAAACCTTATGAAAAATAAAAGGAATTAATTTAGTCATTATATAGTCAAACATAAAGTACAAAGGGCAAAAATAATATTATTTAACAGTAATTAAAAAAATAGTACGCTATTAAACATACAAATATAAAGTCGTTTAATAAGGCGTTATTACTCAGGAGAACCGCCCGCGTCTCGGGTCTCAAATATTTCCAGTTTTTACTCTCAAATCGTGCTCTCAGGGGGACGAAATCTTTTGTCTGTAAATGTTTGAACTTTCCGGAAGCTAATTTTTGAATTGTTGATTCTGTGGGTGCTTCGACAATATTAGTTTTTGTAAAAAAATTTACAATTTGTGGAGGTTTCGGCTATAAATCCCTAAAAATGTTCGCAAAACTAATCAAGCAAAGCGCGACACCTTCAGTTAAGTATTTGCATATTTTTTCTTGACAAAATGTTGAAGAAGTTTCTAATCGCAATTGAAAACTGGGAGTTTTTCCACTATTAGGCACGACTCCACCAGCGGGAAGTAAGAGCCCGCCTACACCCCAAATCCAGACATCGGTAAGTGCAAACCATTCGAGATCCAGCAGTCACGCTTCTGTATCTAGTCAAAACATACGAGCGGACGCTGAGCCCCTCAAAGAGCCAGTTATCGCAGTGAAACCCCCGACTGATGATGTAAAAGTATTAGCACCTTAATATATTTTTAATCCCGTTCAATAATTAACAACTATTTGAAGCACTTAGTTACTGCGGCTTTCACAATACTTATATATTGAATTAAGCTACCCAGAGTTTTGTGGCTTGACTTCTTGTGCGTATTTTCATTGGCCAGTAGCGCTTCAGAAAATTGTTAAGTCTATGTACCACATCGTTTCTTAATGGAATTTTTTTCATTTGTTGTGCAAGCGGCAGTAAAGCACTTATTGTTTGTTTTTAATGTTGTATACATTGTTATTGTTTTAAAAATTAAGATATGAAATATAAATTTGAATTACACCCCAACAGGAGTCATTTATTTCGGCAGAACAGAAGAATCACTCAAAATGAGGAATTAGGATTTGAGCGTGATTCATTCAAGGTGGCGCAACAAAAAAACAGTCAATAATGGAATTGGCTGAGATTGAGAAGTTGACGAAGCTTAAAAAATAATTGTTTACTCGAGTTCCAGGCACTAATTACTAAAAAGCAATAAAGCGTTTCCACTTGAATAGCAATGCTCGAAGCAAATAAATTTCCCCCATTAAGCTAATCTGAGTTTACGTCCAATAAACTAAAGCCTCATTAATTTAGCCTGGTCCAAAAGCCACACCGTAATTATGCAATATCCACACAAAAATAACAAATTTTTGCAACATGCGGGGGAGTAGGAGGCGAATACACGCGAAATATTGGACAGCGCGCGTTCTTTGAGCGCACCGTATTAAATTTTCTTATCAAGTACGGTTTGCGTCCGTTCAAACTTGTATATCAGTCATGTGCTCGTGCTTTTGAGGGAAACTCGCTCGTGCTGGTTGCGATCGATTCAAGCGAAAAATACGCGCGGTGGAAATATTCCAAAGGACTGATTGTGTTTTGGGCTTATCTGGAAAAACTGGGTTTGCTCGTGCTGTGCGGGGTTTTCCGGTGGTTGAAAGTGTTTCTGCTGTTTTTACTATTGGAAATTGCTGCCCGTTTGCTGTGATGATTCCCCGTCAGGTAATAATAATCACTCAATTTTCGTGGTTGTTCACATTTTAAGTCAATTTACTGGCAACCGGTGGTGAGTGAACAGGAGCAGTTTGAGTCGGTTTCAAGCTTCCACTGCCAGTATGGAAAAACATCGAAGATTAAATAAGTCGAACAGCATATCAGTGTAATTATGAATAGGTCCTTGTTACTCAATTACGCTGCTTTATTCTATTTATACATGATTGATATAAATTGCAATCGCGCCGAAATATTCGAGCCAGAACTGGAATTGTTTGAAGCATCACCTTAATAAACACATCTTAAATCCGTCTAGCTTCACTTTGAATGGCTGCGAACAAATTATCACATTCACCGTCTAATTTGGTTTATCCATACATTTATTTGTTGATCTTTTTAACGTTCGGTATTTAAAGGTTTCAATTTGCTATTTTTCGCAGCTTGCAACTGTTTGCAAGGGAAAACAATTCATTTGGAACTTGAGCTTTGAAAATATCAGCGGATGTTTTTCCAACCCTTACCAACAACAAATTGAGGCAAACTGAGCAAAAAAATGTTCGCTTCTATTGATTTTTTGCTGTAGATTCTACAGAATGGCCAGCGTTGAATCAAGTATGTTGGTTTTTATTTCAATTTGACAATGTGAGGAAATAACATGTTTACAGAAGCTTGCTGAAAAGCTCCAGAGATCTTAAAGTCAGGGAGTTTTGCAGGTTTAGTTCTGCATCATCAGGGTTTTGCGGTTTGAGAATAAAAAAATAATCGCGCATCTTAAAAGCGAATTCTTAACGGTATTTGAGAGATTGAATTGATCGTGAAGAATAGTCGCTTTCTATAGTAAGAAAAAGTAAAAACCCGTGCCCGATGTGCCCCAATCCCCCAATTCTTGCATTTTTTCGCAAAAGTGGAAGACTTTGGGCAAGAAGGATGTTTTCGTCACCGTTCTGTGTAATTTTCCCTACCAATAGAGCGCTTTTTACAGTAAAAGCGCAGTTTCCAAATTTTGAAACTATCTAATGCCCGGTCCAGACTTAACCACCCGAGCCCGAGCTGAGTCTGATCCGCGGCAAATTGCTTTGATATTTCGTCAAAACACCGGTAGAAAATCGATTGTTTGCCGGTGTTTTGATGAAACATCAGGATAATTTTGCCGCGGCTCAGGCTCGGCTGGGGTTCGGCTCGTTAGGTCTGGACGCACCACAACGTTTGCTGTTGGTTGCGGAATTTTCAACCAAATCGGTTTTTGTTTTTTATTAACTTCTACTTTTGAATTTCCAGCACACAAAAAATGCGCATTTTAAAAGCCAATTTCTAGGGTTATTTTAAACAAAAAATATCGCTTAAGCATACGTCCAATTCGCCATTTTTATTAAGCTATAGCCTGTCAAAATAACCTCTAATCTCATGTCATTTCGTCAAATCAGTCAGAACAGTGTGACGGATAGTAAACGCTCTGCCCGATTCGCTCCGTGAAGATTTAAAAAAATCTCAGGTTTTCTTAATTTTCCTGAGAAAAATGGCACATGTTCTGAAAGAGGAATTTTTCCTCCTCGTTTTTGCGGTATTTTTCCTACCGGGAGTGCTGTTTTTTAGACGAAAACTCGATTTTTCAAATTTGAAACGCTGTGACATTTCCTGTCAACCAGGAGTTGGAGTGTTGGGGATACTCACATTTTTGCCCAAACCAGTTCTTGTTTTAACTCCAAAATCTTCCCCCCATCCATGGAGTTTTATGCAATTTGAAAAGTTGCAACAACGACCCATTTGCACCTCAAAATCTAACACTAACGTGCGTACGTATTACAAATCCGAATATTCATAGTTCAATCTACATATTTTGTTCTCTAACTTTTCAAAACATCTCCACTGTTTGAATTTTAATAGAAAAAGCCACATTTACTGCATAGCAAAGTTTACGAAAACTGGTGCTGTGCGCTTTTTTATCTCAAATAGTCATGGCGTTCCAAATATCTGTTTCATTATATTAACAAGACTTCTGCCTTTAATGAGAGCGATCGTCACGCATTATCTAGACCGTGAACGAAGAACCACATAGTGATAATTGTTTCAATTTTAAATAAATTGTTTTGCGGTAAAATGTCTACGAATGGCATGGATAGGTACTTATTAAAGCCTTATAATTTTGACCAAGAAAACAGTACAAGATTATTGAAAATAAAATTCACAGACTCAATTTTATTTAGTCGTTGCTTGCTTGCTATTTACTTAACTATCTGCTCCCATAAACATACTGATAATTTCAAACCATTGGCACTTAGATGCTTATTGGCAATCATTCTAGCAATTTCAATGCCTATTTATGCAGTTATTTACTTAACGAAACCAGCATTCAAATTCGGTTAAGCGTTTGACTAATAAATATGCAATACACCATTTAAATTATATTGGTTTAACCGCACAATAATTGCAAACAAGTGATTCGCCAATTTTTGTCATAAAATTTCATTACCAATTTGGTAAATACAAACTAAAACACAAGTACACATATGTTATTAATGAGTTTGTCAATTTGTCCTCTATTATATAATCGACGGTTATTAATTGAATTGTTGTTAATTTATCTTTTGGCTTGGTATTTAATGTTGGTGTAAATTTGTTTTATTGCGTTTTTAACGAAGAGATGTGATGAGGCTATTACCCACAGCTTTAAAGTTTTTTGGTTTGTGAAAAAAATTACTAGAAAGCTTACTATTTCTATCTATTTTTTTCTATCAAATTAATCTATTTGGGTGGTTGCTAATATAGTGGCAAACATTTATTCTAAAATTGATCGTTTAATATAACTCAATTACTCGTTTATTGGCGTTTCTGTTTGATAACTGTAATAGATGGGTTTAGATAATTCAGCCATTTATTGATTTTATTGCCAGAAAACCGACAATGTCCAAACAGTAGGTACTTCAATGTCTTTTAAGCTATTTCCTAAAATAATGATTATCATTTGCTTCGGATAAACCAGCTGTGTATTCCGCATTGTTGATTTCGATGCGGTAAATAATTCAAATCCCATATGATTACAAGTTGCATCGCATAAATGCCGGACGTGCATTATCATCAAATTACACATTTCCGTTTCTAAAGTTTTGTATTTCGCTTGTGTAATTCCCAACTAATTACACAGCCGTTTTTGTCCTCATCTATTGAGAAATTATTTGAAAATAAAGTCATTCAGCATATCGCGACGGAACTTTTTGTTTAGGCAACATCTTAATGACATTGTAATATATAATTAGTTTGTATTGCTTAATGTTTATGACTCAATTTATTGATATTAAAGTGGTCTCAATTAAGCAAGCTTTGAATCAAACTTCAAGACTAATAATTATAATTCGAACTTTGTAAGAGTTTTTGTTTTTGTAACGCAAACAAATTTAAATTTAATTGGTAGCGAAATATGTATACATTTCTCAGTTTAATTAGTGGCAAACTATTCGTAAAACTGCGTGTCAATTCTCTATGACTAGTGCAACTGGATCGATCTCGAAAATTTGATCTTAAGTGTAAATTAAGCCCCTTGGACGAGCAGCGTGTAGCTGAATCGGATAACAAAGCAACAGAGCTGACAATAGTTTACAATTAAAGCATTAGCTATGTTTCGCTGACCATAACGGCGTTGTCTCCGCATATAAATCATGAACATGCGAACGACAAGACTCAGCTACTGAATTAATTTACGCGTGCGAATAAATTAGACCCCATTAATGCAATGCGCCGTGTTCGGCTTCCTGTGTGACATAAAAATAATTGAATAATGGTATAGAATTGCATTTATCTCGACCCCAAAACTGAACTTAAGCGCACGATATACTAAACAGGTAGTTATAGTTAGGCCTGTTTTGCAGTTTAGAGGCTCGTAAAATCTTGGCTCTGAAACTGTTGTTTGGTTTCCTCTTAATCAACTCTAAATTAAAACTATCTACTACCTATTAAAATGTTTTAAAACATAGAAAAATAGTTTGTTGCTCTTGTTTTTAGAAGTCGATGTAAGGAATTTAGAACTCACACAATTCAGAGCAAATCAAAACAAAATTCTAGTCATTCTTCGAAAAACGACAATTTGTATTCCCTTTAAACCCTTTAATACCTAAATAAACGAACAAAACAATTCAGTGGCAAACATTATTACACATCAGTAAATTAAGTCTGCGATTAAACGCAAAAAGTGGTCCGTTGGGAATTCGTAATATTGAAAAACTGAGTAAAAAGATTTCAAATCTAGTTCTTTGTATCAAACGTCCTTCGCTATATGTAATAAGGGCCTTAAAATTAATTTTCTTGAAATGCACTCCCGGGTTTA